CCAAATCTCAGGATGTCGACTACTTTTTTAAAACCACACTTTCGGTTACTAATCGACAAACGTTCTCAAAAGGAGGAGAAATGAAATGAAGCTCATTGTTGTAAGCTACATGCAAACAGACGCAGCAACTCCCAAAATCGTTGGGCCATAAATGTGGGAAGTTGTTGTGTCCGTTTCCACGTAGAACCCCTCCCAAGAGTTTTCAATATGTTGCAGTATTTCGAAGCAATTTTAACTTTAGTAGAACGCCTTCGATCTTCTCAACAATATGAGGTACATTCTAAGGGTAGTGGCGCTGCTGGAGGCCTGTGACGTCACCAACAACGGTCGCCATCTTGGTCGCCATTTTGAATTTTAGTGAGAATTAGAAATCAGGTTAAAACCGCGACAAATGGTAGTGTTTTGTGCTTTACATGTAAAATAACACAAGAATATGCTCTTTGCATCATTTCATCCACAAGCTTTACTTTTATTGTTGAAAGAAGTTGGAAAGACATGCATTTTCATTCAAAAAAGGCTTGATCACCTGCTACTTATGACGTCATATCTCGTAACCATAGCAACTGACAATCACTACACTTGTCTCAGAATGCGCGATAGGGATAAATGAACAGCTACTGAAAACGTCAGGTGCTGATGTTTTATCGTCTATGGGAGAAAAAAACTTAAAAAACCTCAGGGGGTGGAAAAATTTATCCAAACCTTTCTGAATAAGCATTTTATTTAGCGTGGCCACTTCCTTGGGGAGATAATTCTGTAAAATCATGCTTTAGCCAACTTTGTTCCAAACCCATCCGCAGGCATACGTTTAACAGCCTCACCAACTGCATCTTATCTTTGGGAGGGTCCCCAATCCGTTTTTCGGGATCCGGGATTTCCCTTATTTGAAGCTCGGGATTCGGGATATTAAAGCAAAAACGGGCAAGATTCGGCATTGAAAGTATGCGCGGGAGTTAGAATGCCCGAAGTAACCCTCGGAATTACGAGATTGCACGAACTTTTGGGTCGGGATTACGGGATTGAAGAACCCTATTGGGGACCCTCCATTAGGACTCTGATGCGTGTACGTTTCTTTTTCCAAATTTGTCTACACACCCATCTTTTTGCTAGACCGTACAGGTACAAAAGTTGAGGAGTTTTTATTATTTTAAGTCATTTTAAGGTGGCTTAACCCATTCGCCCCTGAACCGCCCGTGCGGATCCAGGTCCTTTCTACCCTTTGTGACGTCATCAGTTTTAACGGTCAAGGACAACTTTCTTCCCTAACTTGTGCAGAGTGAAGAGATCTTTCAAACCATACCAGAATGAGCACCATTCAGTCAAGGGCACCGGAGAAAGAAGCAAAAAACCACGTGACAAGGACCTGAAAATCTCCATGAAAATCTTGTTCCATTACCCACCTACCTTTCCTTTCACCTAATCCTAAGATCCTAAAAGCTTTCCTAAAAACGCTTCCCACCAAAATGAAGCCTACTAAGTGCCCAGCAAGAGAAAAAAAAATGAGGCAAGAAAAGCGAAAAAAGAAGGGAGGAGAGAAAGCGAAATTTTGCTTTCTGCGGATGCCCGAACTTTGCAAGCTGATATTTTGCATCTGGATCAGAAGGCCGCCAAGTGTACGACCTGTAAACCGGTTTGTGGTAAGTTTTAGCTCTTTATAGCACGACAGTGACCAGAAAACCACTCGACTAGCTTCAAAACGCGTTTTTCGGCAAAATCTCCAGAAGCGAATGGGTTAACACAGTTTTGAGGGCGGTCAGTGTTAACTCGCGTGACGGCGCGTGTTTGAAATTAGACAAACAAACATGGCGGCGAAAAAGGAATGTACACAGAAAAATCTCAAAAGCTTCTCATTAAAATTTTGTGATATTTGGCACAATTTTTACTTTTATCGTATTTTAAATGATGAAGACTTTAAAATGGAAGGAAAGGAAAAGAAAACCAAGGAAAATTTTGTGACACATTTAATAATTACAGAACAATTATATTATTGATTATCTAAAAACCCGTGTGTTAAACTTTGGTCAAATAAGTTTCAAATGGTAATAATTAATTATAGCAAGCATTGTGCAAGTTTATAGGAAAATCTAATGAGCGAATTTTAGGTAAACTGAGCAGAAGTGAAATTTTAAGGTTGTATTCATCGTTCATGTTCATAAAAACTACGAAAACGTCAAATTTTACCTGTCAATCAAAATCTTTCATCAGTTTATTATTCACTTGCCAAGTTTTATCTTGTGAACTGCAACCTTTCTTTTGACATGATTTGGCAAATGACATATACTTACAAACTGCAAAAACTGTGTTCAGCCACTGAAAAAAAGTGGGGGAGAACAGTAAAAACCCCTCGCGTAAGAACCTACATTTTTGAAGCTTGGAAACAACAAAAATGGCAAATAATTAGGCAAAAGTTTGCCAAAGGTTTGGAGAAAAATGTGAAGAAGATGTTGAAAGTAGCCCTTTGAAAGAAAAATGATCTTTATTGATGAAAATGGCGACAAGAGGCCTCTCTTGACTTCTCATTTGTATTATTAATGTTCTCCAAACTTCGGTATTTCAGCCGATTTGCCACTTTTGTCAAATTCGCCACCTTACAAGGAGTGCCTCTTAACATCTCATTTTAATTTTATCTCTGGCAAAATTTTGCCAGACTCAGTTTCATTTTTGCCGTTGTATGAGTGCGCATTTTAAGACATTCTTTATTTTAATCAAATTTGCCACTTAACAGGGGCCTGTCAGCTTGATATCTCATTTGAATTTTCTCCAACCCTCTGGCAAATGTTCGCCAAATGCCCCATTTTCGCCAGATTTGTCATTTTTGTCAAATTTGCCCTTTTCGTCAATTATTGAAGCAACTGGGCGCCTCTTAACATCCCCTTTGAATTTTCACCAATCCTCATTTTCGCTGTTGCGTGCATTTTTGGACATAAGTGCATTCCTCAGTTATTCAGTTTTAAGACCCTGAGTAGTGGTCCGACCCTGGAAATCGAACCCATGGCCTATTGCTGGTTTACACTTGACGTTACGGCGCCCAATGTTGGTGATCAGGAACAAAAGTGTCGTTCTCTCCTGAGAACTAAGAAAGTTCTACGAATCACCAACGTGAGCACCTTGTCACATGACTGCAAACTAAGCGTAAGAACGTCTGCGTAGGAGGCTAGAAATTCAGAAAAGGAAATCAATTTTACATGGTTCGAATTAGCGCGTGGCTTGAATTAGAGAGGATTCGAGTTATCGAGAATGGACTAGCTGTACACTTTGTTGAAAGTTTTCTTTTTCCATCCCTTTCCTCCGGCCGAGCTGTCAGGTAGACAATACAATAGATTTTCTTTGAAGAAGAAGTTGCATAAATTCTAATGTGCAACTTGCTCTTACCCCATCCTTCTCAAAAGGAGGAGCGTGATGAAATCAAAATTAATTGTTTTAGGAAACTGAATTCGACATGGCTGTAAAGCTAGGGAAGCGGTGACCGCGAGAAAGCGACGAAATCACAATAGGTCTGTCTTGCGGCTATGCTAGAGACCCTAATAGATTTTGGGACGAGGACGACTAAGAGTACGAGTTTTTCCCAAAACAAAATATTTGACGCTCGTGAACTTGCCTTCGTGCAGACGTCTCCTATTTCCTTTGTTGCACGCGGAAAAGGGACGTCTGCGTAATGCCGTCGCTAATCGTGTGCCAGCATCCCGCTGGGTTCCCAAGATCTTGGGAACATGCTCTGATAGGCTGTCACACAGTGCGCATTGTTTGACATAACGCTGATTGGTTTTATCGAATCTGGTCTGATAATGTATGCGGTAATTGATGTAATCGGGGTTTTCCAGCCAAAACAAATCAAAACATGTGCCATTGTGTGCAGACCGTTCGAAATCTTGTGCGAGGCCGCGGAAAAATTAACGTGTTCGAGGAAATTGATTCTTTACAATTTACTGCGCATGACATATCACATCATATTTGTAAACAGCGTCTGAGAAAACTACAAAAGCGGCGTGGACTTCGCACCAGGCAGCAATTTCGGAGAAAGCCAGCCAAAGAAACTAAAATCTTTATTTCGCCGTAACAAACAGAGATCAAAGAAAATTTAAACACTTTACAACTGCATCTGAAATCAAATCCTACCAGGAACACCCACAGAAACATAAGCCACAGGAAATGATTACTCAGTATAAATGTAACAAACCTGCTTCATGACCTCTAAATGTAAGACTTGGTGCGGCAAAAACGAGATTTACTCACTCAAAGTTTAGAAGCTACATGCACTGTGTAGTGCTAGTAACCTTCGCGCGAGAGAGAAAAGAAGAAAAACCACTGTTCAAGCAGACTCTCAAGGTCACGTTTCGCATTATCACGAGCTTATGATGTTGTGTTTGGCCTGTCAACTCCTATTTCTAACCGGATATTATTTCACAATTTATGCGAAATAGAATACCCTGCCAGCGGGACGCTGGAACACGATTAGCGACGGCGTTACGCAGACGTCCCTTTTCCGCGTGCAGCAAAGGAAATTGGAGACGTCTGCACTCAGGCAACTCGTGAACCGGCGTCATTTTGGCCGGTAAATGTGATAGCCGTCAACATTCTATTACGAGTTTCAGCGAGAATGTCGTAGTGGCGGAAACAAGTTATCAAATGTTAGAAGTTTATCTTTTTGCGATCGGGAGGAGGCTTAACCTCCTTCAATCAAGATAACAGTGCTGACTCTTGTGATGAATCAAAAGAACAATGAAGGTTTCCGGGATGTCTATTTGTTGAGAATACGCGTAAAAACCTTCATTCTGATCTCGTGATCGTACTTTTCTCGTTCTCGAATGGAAAGGTCTCCACAAATATAATACGATAAGAAAAAAAATAGTTATACATTATCCAGTTTCAGATCAATGAAAGCGGCGCATGGCAATACCCTTTGACACGCCCCTCTTCACCACGTCTTAAGAAACAACAAACGGAGGCATATATGCATGAAAAAAGTGGCATTTACCTTTATTTTTAATTCAAAATCCCTTTTACATTATAGTGATATTATTTAAAACCTGCGAGTCCTCAGTCTACACCAAGGTCATCCTGAAAACTGAGTTCGGGCACCGTCAGAAGATCTTCTTGACAATTTGCCTAGTATGCAAATAACTTATACAAACCGTCCACAGGGTATAAATATATCTCATGAAAACTTTATGTATTAACGCTTTACTTTACGCGGCCACTTGTTTAGATGATCGTGTAAAAACATACTTTAGCCAAGCTTGATCAAAGCCCAGTAGCAGGCATAGGGGCATATGGTCTTTACGATCCAGCAGTTCCAGCGCCAGGAAGTTTTACAGCCTCTCCAACTGCAACTAACTCTTGGGACTTTGACGCATGTGCGTATGTGTTTACAAACTCGTCTGCACACCCATTTCCGGACGAGACCTATAGGCACAAAAGGTTATAACTATTTCAGGTTATTCAAATTCGAAACTGATAAGCAGCTTCGAATTAGGGTAGTCAGTCATTATAAAGACAGACGTGCCCATTTTTTAAAATATTGTGAGATGCGTGGATAATTCTTGTACAGTGAGTGGCTAATAGATAAAGGACAACCACTACCAGGGTCATGCCCTGATACACAGAGTTGATACGACGCTTTGTGTTCCACAAAATTTTAAACACTTTTAAGAAGTTGTTTAAGGCCCATCAACATCATTCCGGATATTTTTTTAAAAAGTATTTTTTTCACACGAATAGGCCCTGTGAAACCAGTGAATCCCCCTCGCCGAAACCGCATCTTTTAGATAAAGTCGCTGAATCGTTCTCTTTTTAAAATCCGATTCGTACTAGACGATTGAAACTGGATATTTTTAAATTCAACTACGTCAAAAACTGGAGTTTAGGCTAAAAAGAGAATTTGCAAATTTGAACTCGGGTGATGGACAACAACAACCTGTTGTTCGACTCATCGGTCTCGTGCAAGACGGTTTTAGGTTAATTCGTCCTAAGCTTACAAGTGCCTAGTGAGACAACAGACAGGCAGAACTGTGAAGCTAATCAATGGTTGGGTAAACGAATTATCCATCCATAGCTGTCCGATAAGCCTTTCCGGGTAATTTAATGTTGAACATATTAGACAGGCCTGGCCATTGATTGAAGAAGAGTGGAAACTAGTTAGCAAATGTTGATTGAAGTATCGTATTGTTGTCGATGGGTGAATCCAAACCGGGAACAACCAAACTGAATAAACGCAAATGTTAGTATGCGTTTCGGCCCCTGCTCGGATCAATAGGTGTGGACGGGCCATGGTTTAAGATTGAAAACACAAGAGTTGGCTTAAAACTATGGAAAAGTTATTCATGTTTCTGATTTTGTTGAATCTGTTTTAAATTAAAATAGTTTTCAGAATAAGGTTATGCCACATGGTTCGTTCTTATAGTATTGTAAGGCCATCCAAACGTTTCATGCTGTTGACAGCGATCTGTTATTGTTATAGCTTCTTCAAGAACGTGATTTCCATTTAATCATTTTATTACCTCTAGCCACCCTTTCTGGTGCATCATCTACTTCATCGGACTGTTCCACATGGTCTTCTATTTGATCTGCGTCGTCATTCTGTTTCTTTTCCAACTTCCGGATTCGGTAAATTGGCAACTTTGCGCATAGATCCTTCATCTCGTCGCTCAAGTCCGAACGGTCACTCAGTTTGCCAACAACCTTGAAATTTTCCTCAGACGTAGTGGTCATTTTAGAATCGGTACTTTTGGGCACCTGTAGATGATGGAAACCAGCGTGAAAAATAAACGATTTCGAGTGGAACAGTTGTCAAAAGGTTGCACGGATCAGCAAGTTTTAACAAAGGAATAAATAGATAACTTTAGCGAATCTCTCCAATGTTGTTAATAAAAGTGATTATAAACAATTTTTGGACGTGGTGATATCCAGAATACTCAAGGTTAAGAAAAATGTTATCATCCGAGACTAAGGCCGAAGTTGATAACGCTTGCATGTACCGAGATTATTCCGGATATCACAAAAACCGAATCATGAAGGGAATAAACACATATTTATGATGTTGCTCTTGGTATAATCATGCATTGCGGGCGCAACCCACAGGTTAGTTAAAAAATCCTGCATTAAGAGATTAGTTCCGCCAAACACTAATTTTAACGACGCTTGTCATAGGTCCTCAGACACTTACCAACTGTAATTGTTTCAGCAAGTCAGCAGGTCGAGGAACGTTCCCGATGGAGTATCTCAAAAAGCAGCCCTTTGCCTTTGGCAATCGAATCATTGTTAAGTTCTGCAGTAAAGTCAAGCCAATACGAAGCAAGGATCAATAGACAAATAAGTAATTATATCGAAAGTAACCGTTATCCGATTGAACAAAACCAACAAAACAAATTAAAGAAATAGTTTAAAAGTTTCAAATTTTTCTTTCGCTCTTCATGCTCAATACCCTGGCAGCGAACTGATATTACAGGATGATAGGCTAATCAAGAGATTTCTTTATAGTGGAACTCCACTATAGCGCGCACGAGCGGAGCACCACAGCTAAGTAAATTTGGTTATCTATCCATCTGTATTCAGCCTTGGCAAAATACATCCATATCATCCGTCCTTCCTTCCGCACCCTCCAATAGTTTTGGTCGTACACTGCTGGCGGTTTGAAAAGTTTTGATAAGCAAATGTGGTGATCAATTGACAGCTGTCAAAACCAGGGTATCCGCTGATCAGTAACACATGACCGTATTGCGGGCTTAATGTTCACGTCAGAAACAAACAAACAAACAAAAAATACTGTTTTGTAGCCATTTCAGAGACGTTTTCGCAAAACTGTGCACTGATAATTTCGGATTTTTAACCTTTTATTTTCTTATTTTTAAATTTTCTTTTCTTTTTTTAATTTCAAGTTTTTAAGCCAAAAAGTCGGAGAAACTAAATATTTGAATCCCATAAAAAAAATGAGTTCAGTTCTTTGTCAAAACAAATAACAGACTCCAAATTTAGATGAGTTTGACTTGTTCGATCTTTTATGTTAGTTACTGACCTTTTTAAAGTCGTAGACACTATCTCCTTCCTTTTTGCCCGTCGACGCAAGATTCAGAGAAAAGGTCTCGGATTCCTTGTTGGCATCAACTTTGATACTCTCGTACATATCTTTGGATACCTTGAATGTAAAGGTCTGCGAAAAACACATGTGTAATAAATTGATTAAAATGAGTATCTTCGTCAGTAGTATTTATACCAGATGTAGTTAATCGATAAAAATCGATATCGGAAATCAATCCATATCATCCATATTAATCGATTTCCTCAGCCGATTAATATCGATTGATATCGGAAATCGAGAGAAATCGCAGTCACAAAGAAAAATAATTTATTGATTATTATCGATTAACCAAATCGATAACAATCGTTAAAAATAATTATCGATTTTCATCGGAAAATCAAAAATATTAATCGAAGTTACAACTTTTTCTTTATCGATTTCTATCGATCGATATTGGAAATCAATATTTATCGATGATTGATATCGATTACCATCAATTATTTTTGATTATCGGTTTATCGATTAACTACGTCTAGTTTATATTACCACCAATACTTCAGAGTCATTACTTTCGCTATAGTGTAAATGGATATCTTACTTTTCAAATCACCCTTTAGAGGCATAATAATTAGATTTGCTCGGCTGACTAAAACGCGTTCATTAAGCGTCGATAGCACAACCCGAACAGGCCGCAGGATAAAATATTTAGCGGGAACGTAAACGCCATGGCGTTCTTTAAGACAGAAAGGGCCGAAAGGTCACTTAAAAGTGTCTCGGCGAAAACTAAACGCAATATATATTTTTAACTTAATCACCTTTTGCCCACTGTCCGCGTAAGAGGTAAGAGTCAATGGGGCGATCAGCAAAAGTAACAGCATCAAGCGTACCATCATGATTCCAAAATGTCGACGCTTTCTAATTTTTTTGTTTCGAGCTCAAGAGAACCTCAGCCGATTGATGCAGCTAGGGTCAAAGCGGGTTCTTTTATGCAAGCCTGGCCATTGTGTTGACAAAACTTGAAAATTTTTCGGACACTGTTTACTAGCTTCCCTGTTGTTGGAATATTTCGTACGGTTAAGCTCAACAAGTTTTAATTTGTTGGGATTCGTAACAACGGAAGCCATTGCTCGACAAATGTTATTTTGTATTGATAACAGCGGAAGCCGTTCTTTTAAAAATTATTGTAAAAAAAACTTAAGATTGCAAAAATAGTAAAAAACTGGTATGAAATTATTATAAGAAATTAAAAGTGGGCGGGCGTCGTTTTCTGAGATATTAAAAGTCCGTGTATATATTCTTTGTATATGGAGCCCCGTCTTTATCCTAAAAGTCTGCGTGAGTATACAAAAGCTGACATTGGTATAACACCAACCACGACCTTATAAGCTTTCGAAAGTGGAATGGAAACGATTTATTTCAACACGTCAACTTTGAGCAGACACTTGACAAATTATGTGCACTAAAGAAATAATGCAATGGATCGGAATTCTTGAGCATTGAAATAAACGGGTATTAAAGGCAAGGATATTCTTTGTCAACAGGCAAAAAGACCTTCAAAAAGACGAATGTCGAGACGCACATCCAATGTGCTTTTTTCCTTACGCACACTCTGCCCTTTGGAAAAAAATGGATGTTAATTTTTTTCTCCATATGCCTATATTTTGTCTTACTTTCCGTAAACGGAATGGCTGAACTTCTGCCATAAAAAACAAACATTAAAAACAAAACATAAAAAATTAAAAACAAACTAGACAAAAAAGATCTTTTCCCTCTTTTTGGAAGCATTTAAATTAAACCAATTTAAAAAATTGAAACGATGGTGTAAACTACGATTTCTTCTTTGTGCAGTGATTTGCGTGTTTATCACTTGACTGGTGTCGTTCCATGTGTGGCAGAACGTGTCAACAATCAATTGCAGTCTGATAAACATCGAAGAATATTTCACGATCGATAATTAAGTCACCGCAGAAATGTCATTTTGTTCTGGATTTTCTTTTTAAAAAAAGTTCTCAACGAATTCTTTCTGTAATCATCTAAAAATTGAAAATTTCGAAAAGTTATCATTTTTTTTACCGTGGATGATATTTACCTGAAACCGGCAAAACCAAATTCTTGTCTACAACTAGTATAAACCTTCCCGTCATCAAAGACAGAGGTTCGAACAGTTTTCGTCAACATGGATCGCCGACAATCAGTATGTTTTTAATGAGTTGATCTTTATGAACAGATATTTCATCGTTTTTTTCTAAATCTCCTTTATTCAGGGACACCCAATGACGGTTTCCTCCTAAATATATTGAAAACTGTTCTTTAGGCTATCCAGAGTACTTTTAGATCTCCAGAAATGCATTCTAAGCGGAACTATAAAATTTGTATCTGTTCGGTCATCCTAGAGTAACCTAAGTCTTTTCGAGATTACAAGGGCTTCAGTGTTATTTTTCCGGAAACTTTAGATGCAGTGTAACATATTACGAAAGTGAGAATTTTTCTGATTTCTCTCCATCACATTTTTGAATTCAAAAATTTTAGGTTTCCTATTTTGTACTAAAAATAGCCTAACCTGGGCAGTGAAATGTAAAAAAATTAAACTTCAGAAAATCGTACGGAATTTATTAGATAAGATTCAGAAATTGTACAGGTGCGGAATGACGGTCATCTAAGACTTTTTTGCCGTCCTCAAGTAATACAAAATTCGAGGTAAAATTCGCTTCTCCGAACAGATATTTTGCAGAAAGCAGTCGTTGGGTGCCCCTGTTTATTCTTTATCGTCATTCTCAGTCTATAACTTCTAAACAGTGCTGATACATGTCTTAACTGATTACTAAGTTTAACCGAAATAACATTTTTACACGTAATTATTCAGCAAGACTTACCTAAGTTTCGAAGATCATGGATATGCCGGCCCGCCATTCGCGATAGTTTACCGGCCCTCTTAAGTTTAACTTACTGAACCAATAAATATTTTCTTCATCGCAATTGGCCACAGTTCTTTGGTTTTGGAATAAAATATCCATGAAAAAAGTGATTCGATGAAGGAATATCTTCAGATGAAACATAAACAAGCTTATGAATTTGCATATTACTTTAGTCAAATTGAGTATTTCTGAAGAAAATTTCCATTTTTTTTCTGTAACCAATAGAAAAACAACAAATCCTTTAAACAGCCTTTTCTTTAAATATCGGTGAAATTTAATTGTTTGCCGCTTTTCCCAGAAAGACGAATTTAATAATGGTAACGCAATTGTCTAAAATTGCAAATTAATTTACGCTCCTCGCTTGCTCTTAGACTAGGAGGTTAAGCAGAAACTGTACGGTAAGGAACGACTAGCTGAGCATATAATTCGAATATAATTGTTCCCATACCGCGTTTCAGCTTTTTTAGCAAAGCAGATTTCTTTTTCCTCCAAGTCCGAAGCCATACCTCCACTCTTTTAACAAGATTTCAGGGCTGAATAAGCCAACGTTAAAAAAGCGATTAAAGATATTAAACGAAAACATGTAATGCAGAGCGCCAGTATCCGCAAAATAAAGCTCTACTTTTAAGCTTGTAATGTTTTGTATTTATATTAATCAAGAGAGAATGATCTCTTGTATTAATTTAGTCGAACTGAACATTTCTACGAGAATGTCCATATATTCCTGCTACCGGCATAAGGACACAAAATTTTTTAACAAAATTGGTGAAATAAATACCTTAACAGTATCAACTATTTTTCTAGGAAAAAAATTAAGAAAAGAAAAGAAAGAAAGAAAGACGGATTTCATGATCTTCGCTTGCTTAATAGATGAGGAAGTTCAAGAAGAAACTGTCGAGGTATTAATTTGCTTATTTTAGCAAACACAAGTTGTACATGTAGAGCTAGTTGTTTCCGTTTCAGAAAACAAAACAAATAAAAGCTTAACCATATTTTGTCTTCCTCTTGCCAAGAATATATTAACACTGCCCTTTTATTTTAACGAGATTCATTATTTCTGTATTACCCGTATCGTGTATCATCGTGTATCTTCCTTAGTTCATCATCACAATCCAACATTAACAAAAAAAAAAAAAGAAAAGAAAAGAAAGAAAGAGAGAAAAAATAGTGATTAAAGGGAAATGGTAGTACATACAATGTAGAGAGCTGAAATTGCCCAATAAAAACTTGCTTTTTAATTTTAGAACACTGAGGAAGTAACTGTCACCTAATAGAGGCTTTTATTTCCTTTACAGTAACTAATTGCATGGTAACAAAATATTTTAACAGAGAAAAATATGATATTTTTCGCTTTAATTTTATTAATTTACACCTTTTTAAAGAACCCAGGCTCGGGAGTTTAATTTTTGTAAACCTGATTATTTGTTGAATTGTACATTATTTGATAACAAAAAAAGAGGGACTATAATTATTTGACACTACTAGTTTTAATCACTGCAAAAGCTATTTTAACAAAAAGGCTGAAAAATTATGTTACGAAAAATTTTGTAGGGTAAATACATGGTTCACTTGTTGGTTATTACTTCGCAAGTGGCAATCATTTTTCATCTTGTAAGTTATGGAAAAGGAAAAGACATACACTCATAAAGTAAGTCGAGGTTTAAAGCGACAGTCATTTCAAATACAGTAAAAACACGCGACTAATTAAGAACCCGCATTTTCCCAAGTTATTCTTAACAGGTTCTTACGTCAGGCTCTTATTTTCCGAAGAAAAAATCAAGCCAATGTAGCTAAGAGCATAGTTAATGGCATTCAACTTATTCCTCTTATAAAATCTGCATGCCATAATGACACTGCAGTTAGAGTGATAAGGCACCTATAGGTCACCAAAGAGAATCACGGAATGTTTTATACATTTTAGAAAATAAGAACCTGTTTAAAATTTTAGGCTTCACAGGTACTTGTAGAGGGGGGGCCTAACTGGCAAAATCTAGCCTAACAGGTTAATTTCTTAGTCGCGCATGGACTGAAGCTTATCGTGACTCCTCTCCCCTCCCTAGAGAAATGCAGAGGTCACGGTTGCGAGGTCGCGAACAAAGGCGCCATATTTGAAGATGAATGCAAACAAACCGTGTTATTCAAATGATTGTTATTAACGATACAATCGTTCTCTGCACGACGACAACCGCTTGATCCGATTCAAAAATGTCCCGAGACGCTTTTTCTGGGGCTAAGGTGCCTGAGGTTTACGATGACAGTGTGGCAACAACGTTAAAAGTGATAATGGACGTGCTAAAGGTAAAATCATTTTTTTCGAGAAAATTGAATTTCTACTTCGGTGCGGCCGGCGTTGTTCTACATCATAATTATCACTGCCTTTGAAACAACTATAACCTTTTTAGTCATTGTCTGTAAATTAGCAGGTTTTTTTTTTTATGTTTGAATCTTTCGTTGGGTGATCGTGAAAGGAGACCGTGATCAAGATTTAAGTTTCGACCTCGATCAAACGTTCGCGAACCTCTTCGCGTCGATCTTGTGTACATTCCAATATTGTTTACTCTGCTCCAAAACATGCCATTCGCACAAATCAAATTTTCCTATGTTTTACCACCACGATTTTTTTTTAATGAAATCTTATGTATATGTCTAACTTAATTATATCTTGGAGAAGACGCTGTTGTCGCTGTCTGCAAAATCGTGATCTGTGATGTTACGGACACGGAAATAATAATAGTCACGGGCGAAACTGCATGGAGCGGAATTGAATTTAAAATATTCAAAGAGATGGTTTGTGTTATTACCTACCTTTAGCGTTGTTTGCTTAACAACAGCTGTATCCAATTCCCTTATTCGATACTACCGAAACGAAAGTCGCTTGGGTTATAATTCTATTACCATTGTGGTTGAATCTTTTCAGAATTCATTCGATCAGTTGTTTATATAAAATACGTAAGCGTACATTTGATTTTATAAAACATATAAACATATAAAAAATATAAACGCCTTTTCTTTCGTTGATCAATAACCGTCTCTATTTAGCTTATTTTATAGTAGGTTTATATATTAAAACGTGGACAGCGTTGGACAAAAATGTTTCTTGTAATATTTGTATTTTGTCATTTTTTTAATTATAATTTTGCAGGCTTTCAGTATCTTCTTATAAAGAATACACAAGACCTGACTTTTCTTAAATTAAAACTAGGTGACTTTGTTTTATTAGTCTACAGTTTAATATTGTTATAAGCTGAACATTTTATTGTTAACTTATCTCAAGCTTTAAATTCATAAGCAATATATTGGTTGAAATTTATGGCACTTGATACTTTGGTGTTAATCACCGAGATAGGATATTTACTTGATAACGGGTGGAAGAGTGATCACAAGCACAAGATCAGGGGCAGGCTATTTAAGCCAAAATAAGGTACAGTGTCTCAAGTACTTTTGCAACTGGTTGTAGCTACAGGTTTCCCGATGAACAAGCTGTAAAAACTGACTTTCTTTGCACACTGGATTGGACCCATGCAAAACCTCCATTTCAGGGGACAGGGCTATTGTTAGTCTGAACCTTATCCCACAACCAAAAAATAGGGAGGCGATTGATTGTGCTTTTAGTAAAAAAATCCCCATGGCCTTGAGAAAATAAGAAAATAGAAATAAGTTAAATGCCAGTAATTTTTAAAAGTACAGAATGACAATAAAATTTTTAGCAATGCTACCTTCATCAGGAGAAAAAAAATAAATTATGATGTTATGATGTATTTTAATTACCAGTGTTCAGGCGGTAATGGGTAAAATTTGCTAACTGAAGCAACACATCTAACTGCCTACAACCACTTGAAGTGTTACTAAAATTAAATAAGATGTTTCAAAACTTGAATACGCAAATTGTGATCCAAGTCGATCCTCACAAGAAAAGAAGTAAACAGGGAAAAAAAGTACAGTGGAACCCCATTCATAAATGGGCCAAAAAAATTTTGCCATAATAAAAGGGTGACTGCATTTAACCGAGGTGGCTGTAAAGCGGGGTTCCACTGTATACACGGCTACTTTTTCTGACTAACGATATTTTTTCGTGGGCTTCTGTCCCAGTTCTAGACTTTCTTGACCAGCAGGAAAAGTTCACGACTTCCGTGACTTAATTGTGTTACTAAATTGACCGTAGTGGCAAAGGCAGCCTTCATTCGTAAATTTTTTTAGTTTTGAGGGTGTTTAAAATAGTTTTCAGTCAATTTTTAATTGGTTGACAGGATTTTTTGGCCTTACCGGTCAGGAATGGTCCCTCACTGCTGCTGAGCTAAAATTTGGGGAGAACACTGAATTACTATGCAAGCTAGATCACTTCTGATGAGTACATGTTCTAAATGATTAATGTGTGACACGCATCTCATTTATTTTGCTATTTCTAATTTTAGTCTCATGAAGGCTCAATCAAAGAACTCCATAATGTGCTGAACTCACATGGGAATATGATGTCTGGAAAAGTACACATTCCTCCATTGTCAAATGTGAGTACATGCATTACTAAAATGTGCTGCACAGATTTGGGAACATGGAATAATATCAACAATATATAGATTTAGCCAAGACTAAAAGTGAAGCTTCCATTAAAAATTTATAATTTGCTTATTATAATAAACAATTAACTTGTAACCATCTCAAAGAAATCCACTTGGAGCTGAGCCTGCGAATAGTTGAAAACTACCCGTGATTTGTCAGTGGATAAATTAAAAAATAATGGGGGGACACCTGAGCCCGTGACACAGTCATGTGATCCTGGTCAGTGGATACCCTTTATTGACAGCTGTCAATTGATCACAACATGGAGGTGCAATATCAGGTTGCAGGCTCAAACACTAGCTAGAAATGGTGAGATTGAACATTCAGGTGTCCCCCTGACAGGTGGATGGACAGACACACAGTCACGTGACTGCCAAAATTTCTCAGAGCTCTAGCTTGCATGCATATGGAGCTCTAACTAAAATCAAATCGAAACTGAAGAGTTATTTGTTTTTCTTATCAACTGACTTCACTGGCCAGCTTAATTTACATATTTTAGGATAATCCTGCAATACCTCGTAATAAATTGGTACCATTCAATAATTTTAGGAATCAATGGCCATGCCTTGAAAAAATAATTGAATAATAGAGTCCGAAAATCGGTTTTTCAAAGTCTGGGAAAAATAGTTTTTAACAAATAAGTGTTTCACCTTGAATTTTTTAAAGCAATAGCGCTATTATTAAATCAGATTTACTTATTATGAATGCCTAAAAGTTGTAAGCCCTAAAAGTAATCTGGACAATCCAGAAAATAGCCTGAGAAAGCAGCCGACACTTTGCAATGCCGCCACCACTGGTTTCCCCAGCCAACTGAAGTCAGGAACATGAAGTACAAAAATTTTATGCTGATGATGTTCACTACATGGTATATTTGCTTCAGGAACACTACCCAGATCTGGATAGTGACATGTTGTCAGTATAAAATTTCTGCACTCGTTCCTGAGTTGTCATTTCTCCTCTAAACCACGGCAGTGGTGGCATCATGAAATGTTGGCTGTTTTCTCGGGCCGTCACTCTAATTGACAACTATTGATTATGATTAAACAATTAGATTCATACAATGAATGGAGAAGAGGAACCTGTCAAGGACATAGATGACCTTCCAGACAACCAATCCGAGGTGTCCTCAATTATGTCCAGTCGCACCGAGTACCACGAGCTGCCGACAAGATCTACCATACTCAGCAGTACTGGCATGTCTGGCAAAGAAGGATTTCCTCTGTCTGATCTGGGTCACTCTAAAACTCTTGGTAAGTATGAACATAAGTGTACATGTACATGTATGCAACAGGGCTGTCACTTGATAAGCGACTTCAAGTTGCTGGGTATATGCAATTACACTGTTGGCGTAGGAAAGCGAACAGCTTAGGAAAGTGAATTGTTTTACTTCTGTTTCCTTTTTCTTCTAATAAAAGCGGCCATGAGTCATGCTTAAAGGGCCTGGTTCTCAACAGCCCTGATATAGTGTGTTATCTCTGTTAACTTGAATTCCCAAAGGAAACAAACAAACAAAAACAGTAAGGGTTAGTGGGGATGTTGGGCAAAATACTGCAGTTTTGCTGGAAGGGTGTGGCAATTTATTTAGGGGCAGTGCATCAGTGCCAATAATTAATATTTTTGCTCCTAAAGGCAATTCCCACTTGTTAATGAGAGTGTGATGGCAATTTCTGTTCTAGTCTCCAGTACAACTGGACTTACTCTTACAAGCACGCCATTAAAGCTGCCTTCTTCTTCTCCTCATCAACACTTTCCTACGAGAACCTCAAACACCAGAACACCCAAACTGGAACAGTTGTCTCCAGTTTCAGCAGTGTTAGCTGACGACCATACACATGGTAACCTCTAAAAAATAAAGTTATTAATTATTGTGCATTGTATTGCTCAAGAAAGTATCAATATACCCCCCTCCACGTAGAAGGGTTAATTGGATTGAGCAACCAACCCAACTCACCCCAACTCCCGCACCGCCACACTTCTCCCCATTAAAATATACAGCTCAGGTTCATACTTTCGTTTAAACATTTGGCCTTTAGACCTTCCCCTCCCTAAGACTTTCTATTGGCCCTCTATCGCGTGGTTATAGATATTGCCTAAACCTAAACCACACCTTAAACATGTTATTTTGAAACCATGAGTACTTAAATACCGTATTTATTCGAATAAGCGCCCAACCTCGAATTAGCGCCCACCTCGAATAAGCGCCCATCCTAAAGGTAGAAAAAGTTAATAAGCGCCCAGCCTCGAATAAGCGCCCAGCCCACCCCATCCCACCCCCCCAAAATTGAATAAGTTCTAATAAGAGACTTCCCCGAAGACTGAGTTTTCTTCAAAGTATTTTATAGGAACCTTGCTTTGTTACATCTTCGCGTTTTGTCATTACTATTTATTGTTTTGTTGCAAAATGAACATACTACACTTGCTGAAAATACTGAAAATTTAATAAGCGCCCAGCCTCGAATAAGCGCCCACCTCGAATAAGCGCCCACTCTCACGGTCCAAAAATTTAATAAGCGCCCAGGGCGGTTAATCGAATAAATACGGTAGTGATATAACAATTGTGCCAAAGGGATAGCGCATTAGTGAACCTTCTCGCCTGGCCTCAAACGCGATTAAGTTGGAGAAGATTTTTGGGAACGTTTTGACTGACAATATCACTTCTTATCATAAACCAGGTCAAGTTTTACCAACATCTAGTCAGCCATATTCTCTCCGTACCCCGCCATCAATAAAGCCTGACAGGGTGGGTGGAATACACAAATACAGTTCACCTCCAAGCACTGGGTATTCTGGTAAGTAGTTGTTTTGTATAGGACACATTCTAGGGATCTTGATCAAATACGTTTTGTTTTTGAGCGACGAACGTCAAAGGAAGTGAGGCCTTTAGTTAATATCCCTTTAACATGCCTGAACGTTACCAAAATTGTATTGTTAGGTGCTTTTACTCTTCTACAGACGATTTGCCCAAAACTTAGGTAAAACGACTGCTCAGGAATGCGTGAAGTATACTGTGCTAACACAACCGATGGTCACTGTCTTTCTCAACCAAGAGACATAAATTATTAAAATAATTATTAAAGGCCATCAGTTACAAGCTTCTCAAAAGGAGCGCGGGCCTAGGTGCTTGTTAACTCTTTTTGCGTGTATAAAATTTATATCTTATTCCTTTGTTCGAACTTCTCTTGCAGTTGGTGCCCTGCATACGAAGATTCAGTTACTGGAAAGCCAGGGTATGTTTTGTTCTACAATTCAGTTAAGGTTTTATAGTCTGGTCAGTTTGCCTGGCCAAGAATCGATGAACAAAACAAAACATAACAACAACAGCAAAGAAAGTAGACTCAGTTTGGTAATTAAAAGCTAATGAAGCAAAAAGGTCGCCGTTCTTGGTTTAGACTTGGTTTAGTAAACTGTGCAAATCAAAGCATGATTGTCTTTCACTTCATTCAATAGTTATACCAACCTGTTAACGTTGCCAACCGGACTAGGCTACGGGTGTATGTACATTTTGAGAAAATCTTATCGTGGAAATTGTAAGCCGTAACTCCGCGCTGATGTTGAAACCCGTTTTAATGTTTCGGGTTTGAATTTTTTTGTTTTAAGCTGTTCCAAGCGTTGAGATAGTGGAGTGTGACGTGTAAGTCACCCCATCCCCCACCCCGTCTCTGTTTTTCCTTGTCAAATCTCTTTGCGTCGTCCCCACAATTGCATCGCCTGTTGTTGTTGTTTATTTTTCCTAGGGACCCTTAACCAGAGTATAGCTCTTTGGGGAATGCAGAACTAAAAGGGCGGTCACTTGTTTTACCCCTATCCCCCTCATACACTCCCGTCCCGGTTGTTCAAAATCCTCCGGATAAATCACTATCCAATAGAAAAGTATTACAAAAACCGATTGCGTTATCCGCTGGATAGTGATGTATCCGGTGGACTGACAGCGCAGCCTATCCACTTTTCCAACAACTGGGGCCTGATGTCCAGGCTACGAAACGACAAGCATTAATGACTTCAGATAACTTAACGATATCTAATCTAAAGTGACATAACCTCTCTCCGCTCTCTCCACGGAGATCTAGACGCGTTGACTATTAAGGAACTAAGCGCTAGAAATAACCAAAAGTTACGGAGTGCGGGCGACAACGATAGCAGGTCAAAACGCTTTGCGTAAGCTTGACGTGAGAGATGGTCAAAACACGCGTGGTCAGATTACGAGTGATAGAAGGTCCAAACGCGTGCGATCAAATTGCGTTATGTGCATTCCATTCATTCTTAGTGGAAGTCCAAACGAATGCTGGCTACATACATGCGACGCATGCGTAACAACAACCTGGAGATTAGGATTGCGGGGTCCTCTTGTCCCCCGCAATAATCGTAGCTCTATGATTCTTGCCAAGTTTTGCCCGGTCGTTTTATTACACATTGTTTAATTCAGTGCATTTAACCTTCAACTAAGGTAATGCAGTCGTCTAATTCTTTGATTCTTGCTGCGTTTTTTACTGAATCTTTGTGTTGTTTGTATAATTCATCTAGTGTCAGAATGGGGAGACATTATCGATGAAATGTCCGACCGGATGGCAAATCAACCTTCCCTAATTAGGAAGTTTGCCAAAGAAAGGTAATGCTGGTTGACATACATACCATTGAATCGATGAAGACGTCTAGCGCCAGGCGACTTATGCCCTACTCCTCTTACTTTAGTTCATCATAGAACTTGTATGTTTCTGTAACGTAGCCAGAAAAAATGTAAATTCTAATAGAATAAATAAATAAATAGATAAATAATGATAATAATGCTAATGATAACAATAATAATCATCATCATCATCATCATAATAATAATTATTATCATATTTATACTAATCATAATAATATTTATCTGTGTGAATCTTCAACTGCAAACTGTCTGACAATTTATCGCATTTATCCGCGTCATTTTTTTACTCGTTCCGATATTAATACATGTAATAATGCTAATGATGATGATAATAATCATCATCATCATCATCATCATCATCATAAAAATAATCATAATCATATTCACAGTAATCATAATAATATTTTTCTGTGTGAATCTTCAACTGCAAACTATGTCTGACAATTTATCGCATTTATCCGTTTCATTTTTTTTACTCGTTTCATTATTAATACATGTAATAATGATACTGATGATGATGATGATGATGATAAACGGAATGGTTTGCTTAGTGCTCACGAAATTGCAATCAAAAGTATAAACGAAGTGAGTATGTATTCTAGAGGTTTACTCTTTTACCAAATTATTCCACAGCGTAATGATCGCAAAATATTATGAAGATACGCATGCGAGTGAAATTGCTGGTTTTCCTCAACTATCAATACAAATACTTTATATGGACAGTCCTTCATTAGCCGCCGTTGTAAGAACTTTTTTTTGAAGAAGCTTTCGTAAGATTGTGGTCTGTATACCCTGCTGCGTGCAGAGTCTTCTTCGATTTTCCTAGTATCAACGAGGATTGAACGAAGCTCTGCTCGCAAGGTGCAGTCTCTACTTTTTTGAAACATTTTAACCTGTTAAATGTGTTTGCGTTTGATGTATTGCAGCACCACAGACAAAGTTAGCCATCGACAGCATACTGAAGATTTAGAAGTACTTGAAAGAAAATTGTCCAAGAAAATTGATGACAAGGTACTGTCTAAAACTGTCACTTTCTACTAACGGGATGTTTTTGTTTGCATGTGTGTTTGTTTCTTTTTCCGAGAGTAATAAGGGAATTCTTCTCCATCCATTTGAATCCCGCGCCTACCCCGGCGTTTTCCATGCCACATTTGGTAATGCATCCTTGATTAAGTCTGACCACAATTCATTTTGTTCGACCAAATTGGTGGCTTGGTCGGACATACGTCCTTAAAGAAATAAAAAGTAGGGGTACCTTCCGGTAACTGCCAACGAGGCGAATTTATTTATCTTTTGTGGAATGTGTCTATCAAGATCTTCGCGATTTGTTACATAATCTTAGAGGTTTACAATGGATTCGGCTATAGAAAATGATGGCACTCATTGAATCTGCAATTAGTCTACCGGACCGGTATGTTTTAAGTTTGTCAAAAAATGAAAATAAGTTTAACGAAAAAAACAAAACAAAGCAAAGTTGAAAGATACATTCGAGGAAAGCAAGCATGGTTTTGACAGTTAAAGCTGTACTCTGACTCATTTCGTCGCTTTTGAAGAACATATGGCCTACAAGTGTCTCGCAAAACCGTCGCGAAGTCTCTAAAAACTCTTGCAGCTTGCGATTCTCGGCGTTTATGCATGAGAAGAATCACTTACGATTCAGCGGCAGTAAACATTTCCGTTTTTATTGAGCAAAGAAACATTTCATTTCAGAATGATATTTCACTAAAAACCACGTGACAATGATGAGATTGGGAGTCTTGTCGTGAGAAAAGTAAAAACATCATGAGACTCACAGCAACGGAATCGTAAGCTTGGAACAGCTTCGCTTGGGAGTCGAAGAGCAATTGCTGATCTTTTCGTCCTGTTTATCTCAAAGTTGGCCATAGTGCTAATTTGAAACATTCAAAGTCTACAAGGCAATCGTCCTGTGACTCCTTTGAAATGTACAAAATCAGCACATCGCGGAACGGGAATGATCTACGACAGTTGTCGTTTTGATATCGGGCGCCTTCGTGTGGAGTCGACTGATTTATGAAAGGTGTCTACATCTATTGGACAAATTTGCATATATCGCAGTGCCCACAATAACTTGTTCCTTACGCTACGCGTAATCCACAAGTTAATTGGTACATCATCTGGGCTTTCAATTCTATAAAAAAAGACAACATAGCTTGAAGCTTTGTTGGTAAATTGGAGCAAGTTAGCAGTTATAAATTATGGAAATTCAAAACCGCTATAAACGTTGGAAAGTAAAGTATAGTTCAAGTGAGGGCTTGACTGCTAAAATAAAAAATAAAAATTAAATTCTGAGCTTAAGCCGATCAACGGCATCAACAGGGCTAAGAAAAATATTCCGGATGGTAATATACATAGGAAAAAATTGGTGTAAGCAAAATGCGTGAAAAGCGCAAGAATGGGGCGGAATGCATCAGAGGTATAAAAATATAAACTTGAATAAAATACAAAGATCTAATGAGCGAGTGGCACAGGACAAAGAGTACCTCGAAGGCAAAATGATTCATAATGATGGTCTTTAAAACAAAAGGTCCGCAAATTCGTTGGGAGTTTAGCTTTATGGGAGTTTAGGGCTGTCTTCAATGTTAGTCGAACTGCAAAAGGGCATGCTGGTTGATAAAAATCTCTCCAAAGGCAAAAATAACTTCTTAAAAAACAAAATGTCCTCAAATGCGTTTCATTCCTCACGGGAGATGAGGACTCAATGTAAATCGACCTGCGAAGAACACGCTGGTTCTGATAAACGTTTTGAGAATACAACCCTATTCCTTCATTACTTACCGCATAAATTCAATTTAGAAATTAAAAGATAACATTGAAAACCCTGGTTCTGAGTCGAGAAGCGAACACGCTACCTCAATGTAAATCGAGCTGCGAAGACGAAGAACAAGCTGGTTCTGACAAAAAATGGAGCGTAAAACCCTATTCCTTGATCAGCTGCTGCTTTAAACCCAATTTTTAAAGCAAACCAGAGCACTAATAGCCCTTTAAAACTAGAAATCGTATTAAAACTTTCTCACCTGTTTAAAGGGCCTCTTGAACAGAAAACGAACAGCTGCACAAGGGATCATCCAATTTCGAACCACGAGTTGTAAATACAAGATCATGACGCCACTGCCCAAATATGGGGTTTTATTTACACCCAAATATGGTCAAAAATGCAAATTTTAGTGGGTTTTTGCAGAATTTGAGAGTTTTTGCCTACATTGGGCGGGGTTATCAATCTGCCGCCGAGTCAACTTCGCTTCTTAGCCCGGTTGCCTCGTTGGCAATTATTTGCAGCTGTGCTTTAATCGTGGATGGAATTGGAGAACCTTATCTATCAGGTGTTACTCAGCTTTTATTAATATTGTAAATGATAGCAACACTGTGCCTAGTTTTCTCAACTTGGGGTAACCTAATTCGCTTTTTTTTATAACTCTTTTCCAGTTTGCCAACCTTGATCGTAAAATCATTGAACTTTACGACGATTTGATGAGCCAAGTCACCAACCTACCGGCTGCGAAAGGTAACAGACTATCAACGTAACATTGATGTACCTAGCAATGAATTTGTTGTGTCAGTAATTAAAGTGCCCATCACCTAAAATTTTTTATTTTCTTATCTGAAAGTACACCTTATCAAAATAACTTCTGCGAAAAAATTTTGCGATTTGAACCAAAGACGATTTTTTTTTAGAATTTTTTAAAAACGTTCAAATTTGCCGTCATTTTGGCACACCATTCGTCTTAGTCTTCTCTCGGACTATGACGTCATATGACGTACTTTAAGGAACACGTGACTTTATCGACAGGAAAACATTAAGACTTCTGATAGGTTTTTCTTTTTCAGAAAAACTTTCTTCTTACGAAGACATTGTGATTCAATCCTTACTTGTAATTTATCTTTTTTTGTGTACAGCTGGTGAAGGCAAGGTAATGCGAGTTCCTTATTTTACGTCACATGACGTCATATGTGAGCCTGCTAGTTTGCATGATCAGCGGCGCGGGTGTACCGAAAAAATGTAGACTTCAAAAATTGGTAAAAAAAATCGCGTTTTGTTCAAAGCGCAAAACTTTTTCGAAGAAGTTATTTTAATAAGGTATAGTTTCAGATAAGAAAATATAAAATTTTAGGTGATGGGCACTTTAAGCTCAAGCTGGCTGAGAGCCAGTCCAGGTTTCTAGATTCCACTAGCAAAAATTTGCCCGATTCCCGAATCCAGAAGGAAAAATTTCCACGATTAATTCCGGATTCTCGCGGATTATCTTACATGGGGTGACTTGTAGCTGCATTAGATACATAACGCAAGAATTTACACTTTATAAACAAAGAGGTACTATGGCAAGTTCAACTTTCGTGTTTATTTCTTTTGATCGCTGTCGTTATAGCTGCTGAAGAGAAGAAGACACAAAAACAAGTTTCCTTAGGAATACATAAATTCGACGTGGACTCGCTCAAAGAGAAGGTGAGGTGAAATCGACTTTATGAAAAAAAAAACACAAAATAATCTGAGTAATCTGTCCTCTAAGCAGTTCTAAGGCAAGAAAAGAAAAGCATAAATTTCTTGATCTGTTGAAGCTTTTAACGTGATTGGCTGTTTTTGTTATTATTTTTTCTTAGTTGGATGAACAGGATGAAAGACTTAAAGCGATGTCTAAAGGTGAGCTTTACGTGTAAATTTTTTGAAACCTTTTTTCTTTCCATTTTTCAGTCATTTAATATTAATTTTTCCCCGAACATATTTTTATATGTGCCCTTGGAATGTTAAATATGGTTCAAAACAGCAAGGTGTCACAATTCGTTGCCCATTATAAGATGTATTTTAAGTAGTGTTGCAGTTTTAACGAGTTAAACGTAATGTCAGGACTTAATTATGACTTCGGTCATGTCAACCGAACGCGAGTGAAGGGTACATAACATACATGTATAAATATTGTGCAGCTTAGCATCGTCACACGTTCAATTCAATCTACTTGAAGTTTCACTTCAGAGTTAATTTTCTTTTATCATCATTTCATTTTGTGTCAGAAGGTCAGACACTGTTAGAGCGATTTTCGTATGACCTTGAAAAATGGTTTCGGTAAGCGTTCGTTATTTGTTTTATCAACCAATGGATGAAAAGATCAAAACATGGTCTCTTCGTTTTCCCGCCAAAGAAAACCCTTATATGGAGAAGGCATTGTTCGATTAGCCAATCGTGTTGTAGTATGACGTCAGAGCGAAGTATCGGTTGATTTCTAGACAGTTCTCGGGCATGAAGTTTTTTCACCCGAGCGTCCGCTTAACCAACCAAACGTCACGCGCGTTTGTATCCGTTTGATAAACCAATCAAATCGCTCTGTTTCCGTTCGTTTGTTGTTTCTGTTTTGTTTGTGCATTTTCATCTCAAGGTCATGCGAAAATTGCTCTATCGCCCCATGAAGAGTACCGTAAAATTCCGAAAATAAGCCCCGGGGCTTACATTTTTCAAAAGCCCTTTTTGAGGGGTTTATTTTTGGAGGGGCTTATCTACGAAAGGAAATTTGCGTTTGAAAATCGATTGGGCTAGCATTACAGTTGGAAGGAAATTTACCGTTTTTGCTTTGTTTTACTTTGTATTTGAGGGCAATTTCAAAGTACAAGCCCCCCGAAGGGCTTATATTTGGAGGGGCGATTTAACGGAGGGTTTTTTCCGTTGCGAGTTTGGCGGGCTTATATCTGGAGGGGCTTATTTTCAGAATTTTACATTAATCTAAAGAAATCTTGGATTCGGATTCCACGCTGTGGATTCCAGATACCTTGCCAGTGGAACTTGGAATTCGGTTTTTAATTTTAGCAGGATTCCGGATTCTTTGAGTTGAATTCCGGGTTCCTAAAACCTGGATTCCGGATTCCATAAGCAAAAAAAGTTCTGGATTCCGCAGTTCTATTCAGGTCTTTTCGCTCACCTGGACTATCATATTCCACCTACTCGTGACATGGCTCTTGGGCTTAAACCATTTGCAAAATGCCTTTTGATTGTTTTTGTTAATTATATTGTATTTTTGTACTTTTCTTTTCTAATCGATCTTGAAGGAATGTCAGCGCTAGACGACAAAATGTCTCACCTTAAACAAGATATGACCTTATATAGACGCCAGCATGACAACAAACGGGGTGATGATGAGGTATAGCTATGAATATTTGAACTTTAAGGAGGCTCTTACCAAATTAATCACTGATTTAGCTGCGTTTGTTTTGTAGTTAGTGTCTTTAGTTGCTGAACAGTTAATATCCCATGAAGAAATTACTGGCTGGAAAGTGGCGCTTAAAGAAATCCATGCAGCTCTTAACAAACAAGTAAGGCTTACTACCTTAACAGCCATTTTGTACTATTTCGCGACATTATCAATTTATGATTTTTGTTACGTTTTGGAAAGAATTACGCCAATGTTATGACTTCTTTTTCTCCTGGAGATGGTTCCCTAGACGAGCACTCGTATTGATAAAGTGCAGTAACGTTAGTTATCATGTTGTTAACCAAAAAGCCAAAGCATTCTATGACTTTTTCGCTTAGTCTGCGAGAAACTTTTGTTGAGCACTAATAGTTGTTGAATAAGTTGCGGAGAACAGGCCTTGGTAACAACCGATTGTCTAGTCAGTTTAGAGGACCTTATACTTTCTAAAAAAAGGAACAGTGATTTAACCACCCATAAATGTCTGGTTACTGTTTATGAAGAACCAGCAAAAGACTCTAAATGCCTTCTTAAAATCTCTTTTAATAGTCTGAAATCAACACTTCTGTCCACCACTCGTACGCAACTTTAGACAAGCGCACTGAAGCTATGAGCCAGAAGCTACAACTTCATGGAAGGTACCTTGATTACTCTTTGATATCTTTTTTAAGTCTCTTTGGGAAATACATGTAACCATGTTTATTTTATTACTGAACTATATCGATCATACGGAATATGTACTAAAATTCAAAGTGGGCTTTAAGTCTTAGTTATTGCTTCATGTTTTTAGACCATTCTCTTTTTAAACATTTCAGAGCGGCGGTATTTTGAGCTAATGGCATCGCGCTCTAGTTAAAAAGCCCTCCGTATCACCAGTCTTGCAGTTATCTTTTTTTTTCAGGTGGAGATGGACGGGTGTGTCTAATCTGTATCCCAAAGCTCATTCCTGTATAGCAGTAGATCAAATGACAGACGACATTAGCTTTACTTCACAAGTACACAATACAGAGACACGGAGCTTGGTTTGGGAGAAAGGCAAACCTTATGTTGTAGTTACTACTGGAGGATGTTATTGGTGAGGAATATTTTGTTGTCAAGCCCAAACTCACGCAGGGGACGGGTGGGTACGCATTTGCCTGGCCTCGCTTGCAACAGGATGGGACATGGAACGGGTAACAGGTTGTCAACTCGATTCACCGCTTCAAATTAAGGAAAAATGATCCTTTTTCAGATGCATCGTTTCTTTTTTTCACGAAAAATCCTAATGATCCGGATTTTTGGTGTGAACTTGGATTTTGGTAAAGAAACACACCCTAACTTTTCCTGTCATTTCCAGGGTAGCAATTGGTGCATTTTCCAAGAAAACCAGTACACCACCGTCCCTGCAAGTAACAATAGATGAAGAACCTGTACCTCTGGTATGACTTAATCACTTTGTTTCGATTGTGTTTTTGTGATCAGTTTAAATTATATTCTTCCTTTTTTAGGTGCTAAGGCTTGGAAACCTCTCTTTAGTTAAAAAATACCTGCTCTCCAACCCACTTATCCAATTGTACCTCTCAACAGTGACACTTGGAACGGCCATTTCGCACTACAAATAGTACACCATTATCACTGTAACCACTTACTGCCTTTGCGAAACTAACTCATGGGAAGCGAGATTTTGCGAAGGCAGCGGTTCGTAAGACAGAGAACGGAGAGGGCAGGGTTCGCACAATCTTGAAAAGTCCTTGAATTTTAGGGGAGTCCTTGAAAAGTCCTTGAGCGACTTTCTTGCCTCGAGTTTATCTTTGAAAAAAGCAAACACCGGGAAGCCGGCCTAAAACATAAACTTAAGCTTTAAGCTTGAAGACTCAGAATTTTTAGAGACACTTTAATACTTGTCTTCGTGTATGAAAATTGTTGTCTTTGTATATGTTTCACCGAATTATTTTTCTTTTATTGATTGTTAGTAGTCTCTCTTGCAATTTTGATCGCTGTGCCGTTTGTTTTCACTCGTTCATGAACATCGCTTTTGCAGGAGTACTCAAAATGCCGCGCGTATCAAACGCTTTTTAAGATTACACATCGTTATAAAACCATTGAATAAAAAATCTTATTATATGGCTGAGTCTGTTTTCGCTATGCGATTGGTCAATTTGCGGTCCGTAACTCGCTATACGGACCAAAATTTTTGAAGAAAATGCTCATTTCGGAGCTCTAAATCTCTTTACCTCGGAAAAGAAAGGTTTAAATAAAGTTATAAGACGCCTGTCAACCTTGAGGACCTTGAAGAACCTTGAGAACCTTGGATGTTGACTTTGGCGTTCAACATTTTCAAACTGTGTTTATTTTGTGAACGAAGGCGATGAAGGAACTAACTCGTAATTTTATCGAAGAGGATTCTAGTCAGTGTTTGAAAATTTTATCGCATTACACAGTTAAGAAGACGAAAATCGACTGGCAGAGATTCGAGATGTTTTGCCTAAGAGAAAATGAGTAATTCCTTCGAAAAATATGATAACAAACATACCTGAACCCGATAATCTTGACAAGCTTCTTTGCCATTTGCACTGTTTTCTCAAAGACCAACGAAAGAAAGATAGAAGCGAGTTCGAGCCAGACACAATGTCCAGTTTTCAAAAGACTCCAGCGTTACATTCACGAGTGAATACTTACAGTGCTCTTAGTTTTGACCGAAAAAACTTTAAAATATGTCTGTAAACCCTGAGGACTGGGAGGTTGACTTTGCCCTTCCAAATTTTAACCTAGCCGTTGTTTTAATAAAACGAAGCTAATGTAGAAACTGAATCGTATCCTTACCGGAGCCTTTGTTATGTGCTATTGTTTTCGTGCGCCAATAAAGACTTTCTTTTTTGACGCCTGTCTAATGACTGTCAAATCGTGCGTCCTGCACTTGTTTCCGGTCCCCAAACAGGAAGAAGCCATATAATAAACATCTTATTAGCCTCGTTTTTTCGGTCCGTACTATAAATTACGGATCCTCGTTTTTTTCCATCCATTTACGGCCCGCGCGCTTCGCACGCGGGCCGTAATCGTAAATCGACGGAAAAAACTCGGTCCGTAATTTACAGTATGGACCGAAAACTCGGCTAATGGGAGGTACATATGTTGAAGCGTAACTCTATTAGTGTTCATTCAAACACTAACAGCTCGCACTGCAAATTTGGCGCTTGCGATCGTCCTGAATTTTGGAAATTTTTTTTTTTAACGGTTTGAATGATCGTCCTGAATTTGAATAATTATACAATTTATTATTGCAAATTTACTGCATTCTTTCCGAGTTCTGTATGGAAAAAATAAACACCAAAAAAGCGCGTTTCATAGTACTGTTTCACCTCAGATGTAATGTATAAAAAGTATAAAGGGTTGGTTTACACGCCCCCCAGATTTGTTGGCAAGATTTTGTAAAGTAAACTTGTCGAACGCAAAAGGTTCGGCCTGATTTGTTTTCCAGGTCTAATCTACTGTGATCAAGAGCCATTATGGCTCTTAAATGTGATCGAAGATTGCTATTTTTTGGGTGTACGTTTAAGGCTATCAACTCGATGTCAGATTTGGTTCACTCCTGTACTGTTTGCAAATTACTTTCTCTAAAATCACTTACCCTTTCCCTCAAAAGTCTCATGAATGTGCTCTAAAGTTAACTGGTTTGTGGATTACAAGTTTATGGTTTGATTTAAATTATAAATTTATTAATGGGAGTTTCGCTTTTAGCCGTGGCTAAATCTAGATATTATTTGTTGCATAATATAATTAACAAAACCCAGCCCAAACTCCATTCAGAGGACACGTCTATTCAGGAAACACTTAACTTAGTCCCGAGGTTGTCTCCCGAATAGAGTTTCCACTGTATTTCTTGTTTTGCTTCCTACTTGCAGTACAACAGCTCTGGAAAGTCGCCTAGTCATCACAGAATCAGCGTTATTTCATCCGCTCCTAAGTACCAACCTCCTGCGGGCAGAATAAAGGGGGACGGAAGCAGTCCGTGGAGACCTGGTGAGGAATATTCTTACCCATAAAACTTAATGCGCGTATGTTGAAACCACTAAACAGGTTACATGAACAGTGGCGTTGTATCGCTATCATAGAAGTGTGTTTTTCCTATGTTGCTGTTGTTGTCGTCGTCGTCGTGCACATAATAGAGACCTTTAGATTCTAAGACGGGGACGACTACGAGAACCAGGTCACTTTGGCCGGGAAACGCTTCGTTCGCCAGAGGAGCAAAATTTCATGGGGTGAAAGATAGTAATGTGCAGAGAGTGCCAGAACTGCATGACATCGCTATTATCTTAAACCTTGCACAGGCGAAATTGACCAGACCTCTCTACCAGTCAGCATTGGAGAAATCAAATATTAAATATAACCTAGGGTATCTAAAAGATAGTAATGCTGCGGCACATTCTGTTGATACTTATATTAGTTGGGCAGTGAGACTTAAAAGAATCGAAAATGACATTGAATGTCCCATTTACATGTTGGAAAGTAATTATTACTATCAGTCTATAAAAAGAACTCGTAGGAACGTTGTTTAGAAAATGATCAAATGGTTATCATCTCTTGTTTTCCCACAGTAAATTGTAGGAAATGATAGAAGTTCAGATTGTTTGTCCATATATTTAATATACGGTGTACTATCTTTTTCCTGGAAACACGATACTTTTCTTGCTGTTTATTGCACTTTATTAAATGACAGATATATAAGTATATATTTATAGAAAACAACAACAAAAAAAACGGTTCATGGCAATGAATGAATGGAGGAACATAATTGTGCTTTACAAAACGCCGATACACGTCCTCGTCTGCAAAGTAGGACGCAAAACATATGCTTTTGTTCGGCTCATACAGGTTCTTAAGAATAGCATGGCATGACATTTTCTCGCTTTCACATCACCTTCTAGCAAGCTGGAGTTTGTATATCCCCCGTGTTGGAAAGTCGAAGTGCAAATGCTCATCTTCCCGTCAAGTTTAACGCCTGCACGAGTCAAAGACTCTTGAATTGAAATCAAATCCCCAAGTTAACCATCGTACTCATCTGAAAGACTCCTGACACTCTTAAATTTGGTAAGACCTCTATTGGTGCTGTAGAAAATTTGCCACAAAGAAAACTTTGAGTCTGAGCAGCGAACGATGCACGCTCTCACTCAACGAACTTCCTTGTGTTTTTCTTTGAGTTGTGCGTAGCGCAATGCATTCTGGTAAAAAATGGCGCATTGCACTCTGGTTAAATGCAATGCATTCTAGTAAAAAGTGATGACTTCGAGAATTCGTCCCACCTTATATATTTCTCTTAAATCCTGATTATGTTTCTGCTCGCTTGCTTCGCTCGCTCCGCAGTAATAAAAATATGTTCAGTGTGTTTAAAAGGTGACCTAGAATTTCTAAAGTCGTCCTAAAATCTATTTTGCTTACTTTTAACCTGGTTTATTGCAGGTTCAAGTTTGATAGGTACAGTTATAATTCCTGCACACAGCCGAGTAAGCGTCAGCCCCACCAGCACAGCTCCAGGAACTCGGATGAGCGTGGAAGGATACCTAGAGCTTTTAAAGATGTACTGACTCACCTGAAAATCATGCGATTTGGCGTTGTCTTTGGGGTGAGAGGGCGTATACGCATCAATCTCAAAGGAACTTGCCTAGAGAGGAATTGAAGAGTTGCTTGGTATATTAAATAGGATGAGAATCCCTGAAATGCACCGAAAAAATAGTGGAGTCATATTTAACAACTATTCCTCAAGCCCGAATGGGCTCTAAGTCAATAGCCCATGAGGCCCACGGCTCAATAGGCTACTGACCCAGAGGCCATGAGGGCGAGAGGAATAATTGTTTTAGTAAAATCCAACTGGGTGGTCAAAAATATCGAGACAAAACAACTTTAGCTAACAAAACGCGATTCAGCCGCCATTGTTTCGGTTTTTAAAGCCGGCGCTTTTCGTTACTAGTGGTCTATAACATATAGCCTAGTAGTAGCTCAACCAATCAGAGCGCAGCATTAATAATAGACCACTAGCTGGATTTTACTAAAAACAGATAGAGAGAGAGAGGTTAAGCGACTAGGATGGCAACGGAGGAGAAAACGTCGCTGCGAATCGTGGGTTTTGAGTTGAGGTAGTAGGTCAAAACTAAAAATAAAACATTGCATTTTTACTCACTGGCAGCGTTGGCTTTTCAACTTTTCTCATGCCTCGGGCGACACTCTGGTTGCTCAGTCAACTGTTTTGTTTTGACGTTTCGATCATTATTCTGCTATTTCTAACGAATATCTCTCTTACATTCACGAATAAAGCAATGTCTGCCACCCTTCATCCTTCCTTCGACCAAAATACCATTCCTCAGTGCAATGTTCTTCGCCATTCATGAGTTATATTTAGTTCTGCTTTGCACCGCTTGAAGCCTCTTACAAGAACCACAAGAGGGCGAAGCTGTCAAGCACGTTGCGTTGCAATTTGCATAAACCCCGCCCTAAACCAGGTGATTGACGGATTAGTTGAAGTGCCATCCATCTATTGTATTTTTGCCATTCTTTCCTTGCTTTTTTGGCAGAAGTTTGGGTATTTCTCCTTCGCTTGGCGTGTGAAATCTCTACCCCTCGCTTCCTCCTCTGCCAAAACAGCTAATCTACCGTGTCTTCTGTTGTCCCTTTTTTGTCGAGATCAGTACAATTGACGTCAATTGCATTAACATCTGCAAAACTCTTCCAAACTTAGTCAAGTCACTAGGTGGTTAAGAAGAATTATCCGAGAAATTTAAGCCAGTGAGAGTCAGAAATGGATACTGATAACAAGATTACTGTACTCGAAGATGCATTAATATATGAGGTAAAGATTGGGATTGACTAATTGGCGTGGGTGGGTGGGTGGGTTGCTTAGGGGTCGTGCGCCGTGCTTCGTGCGTGGTGGGTCGTGGGTCGTGCGTGATAATCGGTCATGCTTTGTGGATAGATTGTGGATAGTGGCTTTTCAAGAAGACTCTTGCTCGTAGAATTCAAAGGCACTGTCTTCCTTTACACGTCCCTTCACATTTATGGAAAAGTTTCTTCAGTAAAATCCAGTAGAGCAAACTTATCAGCAAAGTATGTCCTCCCCGGTTCTCTTCCAATTTCCCGCAATTGCTCTCTGCGTTCTTAATGAAATGCACAAGCGTCTAAGGAAACCACTTCCGGTTTAACAAAAATTCTTAGATACCAATCGCGTCTTTTGTTTCAAATTCCAGTATTTTTTTTCTTTTTGTGTTTTAAATTAGGCATTTACTTTAGGGAAGACTATTCCATAAACAAATTATGACCAATCATCACCATTTAAACACTTCAATTCTAGCACTGTTTTACAAAGAGTAAACTTCCCTTGAGTGACAAGATAAAGGCCAATCCAGGGTCCAGTCCAGCTTTTAGGATGCGCCAAAGATTAAAGCCTAATCACAGATCTAGTGGCAGTCTGTGTAAAGAAGTTTTAACTTGAACTGATCACAATTGTTCATAGGCCCGGTGTGATACACTTTAAGGGTAAATCATGGGGTGTGAAAACGTCCGTGCCCTCAATTTTCCGGGCTTTGTGTAAGTTATTCTTAGATGATATGAAATAATCTCGTTATGAGATTGAAGTAATGAACATATGCTTTTTTGGTTTTTTTTGATAACTTTAAACCAAACACGCGTACCCGGTTTTCCACCTTCAATTTTAACAATTTTCACGAATTTTCACTGTGGTCAGTCTGAAATTAAACATGGACTGCGGTCCAACTGCGGACTGGGTATAAAACACGGACTAGGTATAAAATGCGGACCACAGACTACGTTGGTAAAAACTGTGCTAATTGGTTCTAGGTAAGGTAAGATAAGATCTGTACAGTACCGCAAGTGATCCCCAACCGCAAATGATCCCGAGACCGCAAATGATCCCCAAAATGGACCGCAAAAGATCCTCTACCGCAAGTGATCCCCGAAGTTGACCGCAAATGATCCCGTGAAAACTTGAGGAATGGAATGGATTTTATGGGACTGATTACAAAAAAGGACTGATTATAAAAAAAGGAACCTTTTTCTCGCACCTTCTAAAGAAAAAGGGAAGGAGGACGCTACATCTCAGGTCAATTTATACAAGGCGAAAAAAAAAAGTAGAATAAATCTGAAGAGGATATGGTATCAACCGTATACTTCTTCCTTTGTCAATTGCTTCAATTTTCTTTCAAGAACTGTTTCGTCGCTGAAAATTTAAGACAGGCAGGACGTTACGCAGAAAAAACTCTATTATTTTAACGCCCAAGCTCAACTTGTCTACTGAGGAATACAAAGCCGGGCACCCTCTACATATCTTTTTAGAAGCGTTGAATTAATTTTCAGAATATTTAGTTTTGATTTTTCTCTGAAGTGTTAATTTTACGTGGTAAACAGCAAGACATTGGTTCGTAACTTATGAGTGCCCCAGGCCTGGCAGTGCCCGTTAAAAAACAAGACGTGATTTGAAATAAACACACGTCAAAATGCCACCGAACTTATCGATGTCCACAGTTTTCGGTTAATTTTGAAAGAGCAACTTGCCTACAGCTCATGAACATGTTGCGAATAGTTATATTGACGCTTATATGTATATCCATTTTTTTGCCTTTGCTGTAGACAGTTACCAGGAATCTAAACCTGCTAATGAGAAACGTAAAAGCGAGGCAAGCGGTAGTTATCGCGTGACAAAACATCGTAGGAACCGTCACATTCACGGACTAAAAGAAAGTCGCTTATAATTGTTCGGATCCATGAGGCACTTAAAAGAAAATTAAACAACCTAAAACCCTTATTTAGCCGGAACGAGAAGCATTGCATTTCAAAAGAGGTGAAAGAAATGCTCTTGCATTAAAGGACAAATCCAGCAAATCATGCCGACCACAAACAACAATAACCGCAGAAAATGCGTGTCATGACCTCTCAGTATGAAATAAGCGGCAAAAATCACATTTGCTCAGTCAAAACGTTTTCCTTCAGGTGTAATCTACCCGCCAGAGAAAAAAATTCATAAGAACAAGCAGCATTTTGGCATGAGCTAAAAGTCGTGTGTTGCCTACCGACTTCGTTTTACACTTGAATGATTTTTTTCATTTAGTTTTTATTCATGTATATACGTATTTATTTAAGAACTGAAATTTAGCGTTTAAACTTACTTTTTGTATTAATAATAAAATCGTCACGACGATCCGCTAACTCGAGTCTAAGCCATTCCTATTTTTCTGTCGGGATCATTTGCGGTCGACTTTGGGGATCACTTGCGGTCGAGGATCATTTGCGGTCCATTTTGGGGATCATTTGCGGTCTCGGGATCATTTGCGGTTGGGGATCATTTGCGGTACTGTACAGATGGATCAAAGTATCGCCAAATAGTACAACACGTGAGTTTAACTTATAAATACACCTAGAAATTATTCTCTGATATAATTCATTCTGAAATTGTCTCTTTTTGTTTATCAGTGGTACCATAAATTAAGCCCTTAGTGTTTTGTTCATTATTTCAATCCAGTATCTGCAATTCTTTCCTATTATACACGTCAATCACAGAATTATAATCTGTTTGTTAAATCGGTTCATACCACTCAATAAGGCACTCGTTCTGTCCCTTACACTGGTACCAACCTCTGAGTACCAACACTGAAAAGTTCTCATGGTCAGCTACTTCCCATACACGTCTACATTTTGGTTGAGATTTAATTTGCTGGTGATGGGCTTGCTAGAGTAGAAGAAGCATTGCAATAGTAGAAGAAGAGTTGTTGTAGCTTTATAACGCCGCGAGAAGAATAAAGTCAGAGAAGTAAAAGAAGAGTCTCGGTTGTTGTTGGCGAGTACCTGACAGTCCCCAACATAAGTAAAGCTAGGACTAAAGACTGTTTTTAATAGAAATTAATCTTTGCGATTTTGAACAAGTACCACGCACAACATTGTCATTATTCAATGACAGATAATTGGGCAAATATAATACCGCCAATTTTAAAAATTACTTTTTAATGGAAACTGTTCGATACTTGAGGTATTTACAACCTTATCGTAATACACGTCACGATATCACTCAATAAATACATTGGAGTATTTTTGGCGGGGGTGGGGGGGGGGATTTCTTGGGTAAAAAATCAAAACTCACAAAAATGTATGGTCAAAGGGTTGAACTTTCACTTGTAATCCAATACACAAATGTCTCAACTACAGAAAGCTAATTTACATAGGAGGCAACTAGAAAAATTTCATAAACTTAATTTTTCATCCTTTTTGTTCCGAGAAATAAAAGAAATATAAGAGGAGTGTAATTTATTCTTGGGAAGAGGAAGACGAAATCTGAATAAGTTTTTATTCGTTTTGTTACTGAAACGGAAACAGTTATCATGATTACATGTACAACTTGTGTTTGCTAAACTAAACAAATATACCTAGACAGTTTCTTCTTAAACATTCTCATTTATAGAGCAAGCGAGGAACATGAAATCCCTCTTTCTTTCTTCTTCTTTTTTTTCTAGAAAAATTGTTGACATTGTTCAAGTATTTATTTCAACAATTTTAAAAAAAAAAAAAAAAAAAAAAAGGCTGTTTAAAGATTTTATTTTTAATCCTTACGAAAACAGGAATAAAACAGTGGCAATTATGATAGAAATATTCAGTTCGACTAAATGAATATGCAAAAAAAGTCACAAGCTTGAAAACAGGGCCTGATTTTGCGAACGAACATTGGCGCTCTGTATTGCATTTCTACGTTTAATATCTTTTGATCGCTTTTTAAACGTTAGCTAATTAGTCCTGAAATCCCGTTAAAAGAGTATAGTTATGGCTTGGGACTCGCGAGGAAAAAGAAATCTGTTTTGTTAACTGAAAAAAGCAAATATACCTTAGAGACAGTTTCTTCTTAACTTCCTCATCTAAGAGCAAGCGTATGTATGGAGATGGAATTAACTCGTTCAGGAGTGAAAGTCATTCCGGTATCATGTAAATAGCCCTTAGTCAGACTTGTCAAGAAGCGAATGCGATCTTAATCGGTTTCTTCCGTAGTTTTTTTGACTGACCTGAACTTAAATTTACAGAAGGCTCGTCAATTCTGAAACGCGTTACAGCTACAAGAGCTAGCGCCATCCGCGCGAAGACGGTACTTCTAGTCCGATCCCAGTGGTTCTAAATGCTCAGCAGCTTTGCGAAAAAGTGGCAAACAAACGACGAATGGCAGAAGTTCAGCCATTCCGTTTACGAAAAGTACAATGAAATATAGGCATACAGAGAGAAAATTCAGATCCAATTTTTTCCCAACTGCAGAGTGTACGTAAATTAAAACGACCTTCAATGTGATCTCGAGATTCTTCTTTCTGACGGTCTTTTTGTCTGCTGAAAAAGAATATCCTTGCCTTTAATACCCGTTCATTTCAATGCTGTAAATCAAGAATTCCATTGCATTATTTCTTTAGTGCACATAATTTGTCGTGTCTGCTCAAAGTTGACGTGCTGAAATAAATCGTTTCCATTCCAGTTTCGAAGGCTTTTGAAGTCATGGTTGGTGTTATACGAATGTCAGCTTTCGTATACTTTCGCAGACTTTTAGGATAAAGACAGCGCTCCTAACAACATCATTATAGATAACATATACAAGGACTTTTAATATCTCAGGAAACGACGCCCGCTCACTTTTTTTATAATATTTTCATCCGATTTTTACTATTTTTGCAATTATAATTTTTTTACAATATTTTTTTTTACAACAATTGCTTCCGCTGTTATAAATTACAAAATAAAACTAGTTGAGCAATGGCTTCCGTCGTTGCAAATACCAACAAAATAAAACTTGTTGAGCTAAACCGTACGAAATGTGCTGACAACAGGAAGTAGAAACAGTGTCCGAAACATTTTCAAGTTTTGTCAACACAATGGCCAGGCTTGCATAAAAGAACCTGCTTTGACCTAGCTGCATCATTCGGCTGAGGTTCTAGTCTTGAGTTAACTACAAATAAGAAAGCGTCGACATTTTAGAATCACGATGGCACGTTTGATGCTGTTACTTTTGCTGATCGTCCCATTGATTCTTGCCTCCTACGCGGACAGTAGGCAAAAGGTAACTAATTATAAGTCTAGAAAATATTGCGTTACGTTTTCACCGAGACACCTTAAGGTGACCTTTCGGCCTGCCTTTCAGTCTCAAAAAACGCCATGGCGTTTACGTTCCCGCTAAATAGTTTATCCTGTGGCCTGTTCGGGCTGTACTATCGACGCTTAATGACCGAGTTTGTGTCAGCCACCTACATCTAATTGTTATGCCACTAAAGGGTTTATTATAAGGCGAATAAGTGGCTAAGGATCTCATTTTCAAGTCCAGTTTTAGTGCCCTATGTTTTGATTTGAAAAGTAAGGTATCCATTTACCCTGGCGCAAAAGAAATGACTCTGACGTATTGGTGGTAAATACTACTGACGAAGATACTCATTTTAATCAATTTATTATACATTCCATATTTGTTTTTCGCAGGCCTATACATTCAAGGTATCCAAAGATGTGTACGAGAGTATCAAAGTTGATGCTAACAAGGAATCCGAGACCTTTTCTCTGAGTCTTGCGTCGTCGGGCAAGAAGGAAGGAGACTGTGTCTATGACTTTAACAAGGTCAGTAACTAAGTAAACATAAAAGATCAAACAAGTCAAACTGATCTAAATTTGGAGCGAGTGAGTCTTTATTTTAAATGCATTCTAGATACACTTTAATAATCCTACTTAAAGTACCTACCTACTGATCAGAGGATACCCTGTTTTTGACAGCTGTCAATTGATCACCACATGGATGTGCAATATCAGGTTGCACGTTCCCACACTAGCCGTAAAGTGTGAGATTTCACATTGGTTGCCCTCTGGCGCGGACGGACGGACGGACGAACGGACAGTCACGTGACTACCCAAATTTTCGGATGGATAGATAACCAAATATACTTAGCTATGGCGCTCCACTCGGGCTCGCTATAATGGAACTCCACTACAAAGAAATCTCTTGATTAGCCTATATCCTGTAATAACAGTTCGCTACCAGGGTATTGAACAGCGAAATAAAAAATTGCAGCTTTAAACTATTACTTTAATTTGTTTTGTTTGTTTTGCTCAATCAGATAACGGTTACTTGCGATATAATTACTTATTTGTCTATTGCTGTGATCCTTAATTCGTATTGGCTTGACTTTAATGCAGAACTTGACGATGATTCGATTACCAGAGGCAAAGGGCTGCTTCTTAAGATACTCCATCGGGAACGTTCCTCGACCTGCTGACTTGCTGAAACAATTACAATTGGTAAGTGTCTGAGGACCTATGACAAACGTCGTTAAAATTAGTGTCTTGCTGAATTACCTCTTGATGCACGATTTTTTTTAACTAAACTGTAGGTTGCATGATTACTAAGGGCAATATCAAACTGTGAGTTTATTTTCTTCAAGATTTCGTTTCTGTGATATCCGGAATAATCAAGGAAAGTGTTATCAGTCTCGGCCTTCGGCTCGGCTGATAACGCTTATCTTGACCTAATTGAGTATTCTGGATATCATCACATCCAATAATTGTTCATAATCATGGTTACCAATCACATTGGAGAGATTCGTTGAAGTTATTTATTTATTTATTTAGTCATTTGTTTATTTATTTTACTGTTATAAGTACATGGAACTTTAATTGCTTATCCGTGTAACCTTTTGATAATTGTTCCACTCGAAGTTTTTTTTTTTTTTTTTCACGCTGGTTTTCATTACCTGTAGCTGCCGAAAAGTACAGATTCTAAAGTGACCACTACGTCTGAGGAAAATTTCAAGGTTGTTGGCAAACTGAGTGACCGTTCGGACTTGAGCGACGAGATGAAGGATCTGTGTGCAAAGTTGCCAATTTACCGAATCCGGAAGTTGAACGAGAAACAGAATGACGCTGATCAAACTGAAGACAATGTGCAACACGTCGACGAACTAGATGCACCAGAAAGGGTGGCTAGAGGTAATAAAATGATTAAATGGAAATAACGCTCTTGCAGAAGTTATAACAATCCATAAAAATCTATAACAGATCGCTTTCAACTGCATGAAACGTTTGGATGCCCTTACAAAAATAATAATATAACAACGAAACATTTGGCATCTTCACTTTCTTGAAAGAACCCTATACCGAAAACATTTTAAATTTACAACAGATCTAATAAAATAAGAAGCATTTATTAATAAATTTTCTATAGTTTTAAGCCCGTCCACACCTGTTGATCTGGGCAGGGGGAAACGCATACTAATATTTGCGTCCATTCAGTTTGGTTGTTCCCGGTTTGGTTGGATTCACCCAGCGACAAGAATACGCTACTTCAATCAACATTTGTCAACTGATAAGTTGGCACTCTTCTTCAATTGATGGCCAGGCCTTCCTATATGTTTAAAATTAAACTTACTGGCAAAGGCTGATCGGACAGCTATGGATGGATAATTCGTTTGCCCAATATTCAGGCGAAAAAAAGCGACCTTGATCAGCTTCACAGTTCTTCCTGTGTGATGTCCTACTAAGCACTTGTAAGCTTTCGACTTACCCAAAATCGTCTTGTACGAGGCCGAAAAAGAGTCGAAAAACCGATAAGTTGTTTTCCACCACCCGACTTTAAACTTGCAACTTCTCCTTTTTAGCCTAAACTCCAGTTTTTGACGTAATTGAAATTAAAAATATACAGTTTTCAATCGTCTCTAATATACGAATCGGATTGAAAAAAAAGAAGATTGAGGAAGAGAACGATTTTTAAAAGATGCGGTTTCGGCAGAGGGATTGGTTTGGTAGGGCCGATTCGTGTAGAAAAAAATTCTTTTTCAAAAATATCCGGATTTCCGGTTGACGGGGCCCTAAACAGGTTTTTTTGTGGTTAAAAGTGTGTGGAACATAAAACGTCGAATTAACACTTTGTATCCAGGTATGACCTAATTCAATAAAGTTTTAGTGGTTGACCTTTATCTATGAGCCACTAACTGTACAACCACGCATCTCAGAAGAATTAAAAAATGGACACGTCTGTCTTTATAACGACTGCCTACCCTACTTCGAAGCCCCTTGCCAGCTACGCAATTAAATAGTCTCTAATTTGTACCTATAGGTTTCATCAGGAAATGGGTGTGCAAACGAATCTGTAGGCGTTTGCGCAAATGCATCAGAGTCCCATGGATAAGATGCAGTTGGAGAGGCTGTAAAACTTATTGGCGTCGAAAATGCTGGACCGTAACCATATGCCCGCGTTCCTGCTCCTGGGTTTGGACCACTGGTTAAAGCATGTTTTTACACGATTATCTCAACAAGTGGCCTCGTAAAGTAAAGCGTTAAGATATATAGAGGATATTACACGGTGGCGCGAAGATATGAATTTTATTTTCGAGTGGCAAAACAATATTTTACGAACGAGCGCAGCGAGAAAATAAAATTCATAAATTCATAAATTCAATTGCCACGAGAAAATAAAATTCATATCTTCAAGCCGCCGTGTAATGTTCTTTTTATTATATAGACAAAAAGACATCGATAAAATAATACAGGGAAATGACCGAAATTACGTCATCGATAAAGTCACGTGTGAGATTATGGAAAATAAACCACTCGGGTCCCGGATGTAGTTTTTTTAAATTTTACGAGTGGTATATTTTCCAGTAAAACACCCGTGTCTATATAATAAAAAGTTTTAGATACATTTATACCCTGTGGACGGTGAGAATAAATTATTTGCATACCAGGAACGTTGTCAAGAAGATCATCAGACGACGGTGCTCGGACGCGATTTTCAGGATGAGTAGGATGTAAACTGAGAACTTACTGGTTGTAAACAATATCACAGTGACTATGATGTAAGAAGGAATTTTAAATAAAAAATAAGGGTAAATGCCACTTTTTGCATGCATTCACGTCTCCGTCAGTTTTTTTTTTCTTTTTGGACGTGGTGAAGAGGGGCGTGTTAAAAGGTATTGCTTTGCACCCCTTTCATTGATATAAAACTGGATAATGTGTAACCAGTTTTTTTTCTTATATGGTGTTATAAGGTAAGGGTTATAACCTTTCCTCATGAACTGGCCTCTACAGTTGGGCAAAAATTACGACAGAAAATTTCCTTTGTCGTATTATATTTCAAGGGAGACCTTTAGACTCGAGAAAGAGAAAGAGCCTCGAGTACGATGATTTGACTGAAGGTGAAAGTTTTTACGCATTTTCTCAACACATAGTCATTCCGGAAACCTTCATTGTTCTTTTAATTCACCAGAAAAGTCAGCACTTTTAAGGCTTGATTAATTGAAGGAGGTTAAGCAAAATAATAAAAATTCTAACATTTGAGTAACTTGTTTCCGCAACGAACCACATTCTCGCTAATACTGGAGGTAGAATGAGGACGGCTATCACGTTTTCTCTTCACATGTCTTTAAGCAAAGGCGTTTTTGAACGACGCACTTCAACCAGAAGCGAGAACTTTTTCCTTTTAATGCGATCAATTTAGGTGGCTGGGAAACTGCCCACCTACCCCTCCCCTAAGCTAACATTAACACTTACTTCTCGCTTAGGGCAAAATGATGGCTTAGGGGAGGGGTAGGTGGGCAGTTTCCCAGAAACCTAAATTGATCCTTAATATGACTTGACGCTATAAAATTTGGATTGCATAGTTTCTTTACACTTGTAGAGACCGACTGAAAATGAAAGTCCACTTCCGGTTGGCGCGGTGCGTCGTTCAAAAACGCCTTTGTTTATGTTCCCTAATGTCGCTGGTTCAGCCGCGTCAAATACCTTAATTGTCTTGAGAAAATCTCGCCCTCGTAGTCGTCCTCGTCTTAGAGTCTGTTAAAAGGTCTCTAGTATAGCCCGCGGGACGGCCCGCGGGACAGACCAATCGTGACTTCGTCGCTCTCTCGGTCACTTCCCTTGCTTTACAGCTACGTCGAATTCAGTTTCCCAAAACAATTTTGATTTCATCGATCTCCTCCGTTTGAGAACAGTGGGGCAAGAGCATGTTGCACATTATCATTTCTGCAACTTCTTCTTCAAAGAAAATCTATTGTATTATCTACCTGACGGCTCGGCAGGAGGAAAGGGATAGAAAAAAAAAAAAAAAAACTTTCAGCAACGTGCACAGCTAGTCGACCATTATCGATCGACAACTCGAAGCCTCGCACTAATTCAAACCATGTAAAATTGATGTCCTTTTCTGAATTTCTAGCCCCCCACGCAGACGTTCTTATTCTTGGTTTGCAGCCATGTGACAAGGTGGTCATGTTGGCGATTAGTAGAATTTTTTTAGTTCTCAGGGGAGAAAGACACTTTTCTTCTTGACCACCATTATTAGGTGCTGCAGCAATAGGCCGCGGGTTCGATTTCCAGTTTTGGACGATTACTCAGGGTCCTGCTCAGGGTCTTAAAATAACTGAGAAATGCACTTATGTCCAGAAATGCACGCAACGGCGAAAAAGGTGAGTCTGGCAAAAATTCATCGGAGGGTTGATGCGTTTGGCGCGAACTTTTGCCAGAGGGTTGGCGAAAATTCAGTTGTTAAAATTACACGTTGATCATTATTGTTTTTTTCTGTTATTTAAATTTTCTACAAAGATATGAAATTTCACGTGTTTAAATCATTCGCGCGGGTTTTTATTCGCGGGCGTCTAATTTCGCGCATGAGGTGAAAGAGTATGGGTACTTGACATTTACATATGAAAACCAGAAATTCGGAGTCGGGATGGTACGCGCCATTCCGTTTGAGAAGCTTCAGAAAATATGTACTGTGATTTGAAGCAATGCAATTTTTCTACCCTCTTTAGGGCCTGTTTACATGAAGGTGGGTGACCCCAGGTAGGTGAGGTAACATGTGGCGGGTTGCCCCACCTAACATGTAAACGTGATCACATTAAACTGAGAGATTATATGGAAAGGCGGGTTACCCAACCTAGGCGGGTTACCTCACCTACCTGGGGTCCCCCACCTTCATGTAAACAGGCCCTGTCCGTAGAGCGTTTTCACTCACGTGGCCAGAATCTATGCAAATTTATTGAAACAAAAGAAAGCGTTTACATAAGAAGAGAGTTCAACTCCTGCAGGATTTGTTTGGGACACCAACATGGCCGCCGTTTTATGGTTTTGGGACACCGTAACGTCATTTGAAAACACTCTATTCAGCTGATCTGGGTGTACTTTGTAGCTAGTCGTTCTCCCGCCACGTCAAATTTTATATTTATATGTTTATGCACAAGATTTTCACCCTGGTGGTTTGCGTAAATAGTAGGCACCCTGTGACTCCATAGCTTTCAAGGTGCATTTGATGGATTACCGTATTTATTCGATTAACCGTCCTGGGCGCTTATTAAATTTTTGGACCTTGAGAGTGGGCGCTTATTCGAGGTGGGCGCTTATTCGAGGCTGGGCGCTTATTAAATTTTCAACATTTTCAGCAAGTGTAGTATGTGTATTTTCCAATAAAACAATAAATGGTAATAACAGAACGCGAAGATGCAACAAAGCAAGGTTCCTGTAAAATACTTTGAAGAAAACTCCGTCTTCGAGGAAGTCTCTTATTAGTATTTATTCAATTTTAGGGGTGGTCGCTAATTTGAGTTTGAGTGGGAGTGGGAGGAAGGTGTGGTGGGTTGGGCGCTTATTCGAGGCTGGGCGCTTATTAACTTTTTCTGCCTTTAGGATGGGCGCTTATTCGAGGTGGGCGTGAATTCGAGGTTGGGCGCTTATTCGAATAAATACGGTACTTTATTCTTACAAGAACCATCACTACCATTCTTGCCTGGACTGGGTAGCGCTATTGAGAACTTACCGTAACATTCCGAAAATAAGCCCCGGGGCATATATTTTTCAAAGGCCCTTTTTGAGGGGCTTATTTTTGGAGGGGCGTATATTCGGAAGGGCTTATCTACGAAGGGAAATTTGCGTTTGAAAATCGATTGGGCTAGCCTTATAGTTGGAAGTAAATTCACCGTTTTTGCTTTGTTTTACTTTGCATTTGAGGGAAATTTCCAAGTACAAGCCCCCGGGGGGCTTATATTTGGAGGGGCGATTTAACGGAGGTTTTTTTGCCTTACCGGTTTGGGGGACTTATATTTGGAGGGGCTTATACATGGAGGGCCTTATTTTCGGAATTTTACGGTATTTCTTGGTGTATTTACGTTAAATAAATTCAAAAGCATCTTGCAGCACTCGCAAGTTGTCTTTACATCAATCAAGAATTCATTTGTTATGAAGTCGTTGCACTCATTTCAGAAAACCCGTACTTTTTCGGGCTTGGTGGAAAAAAGCAAATTAAAGAAATGTATCGGCATCCATTATTGAGCCTCAAGATGATTTCTTTTGTTTTATCCCCCCAAGTCTCGCTGCCAAGTATGAATTTTAATATATCGGAATTGGTCTATTTTAGCGATTTCTATCCGGCGCATACAAATGAGCGCAAAAAAGTCACCTTCCTGCCCTGTTCACAATACTTATAGCGAATGCTGCTGACCTCGTTTATTTTGTGTTGTCAGTGGGAAGGGGAAGTTTGGTGACCACGTGACCGTACGTCAGACCGCCCGTCCGTCCGCAGCACAGGCATACCAATGTAAAATAACTCAATCAGCAACCCAAATGCAACTCTAGGTTATTTTGGCTTGAAATCGCATGTGGCCAGCCACGTCTTGGGAAGCAGAGACAACTAAAGAGTCAATAAAGACGAAAGCGGAAATTGTTTCTGCATCCGTGTTGTCAAAGTATTAAGCTTAAATTAATTGTCACGGCCACAAATTTGGAAAATAGAGAAAGAGAAAGACAGAGAAAAGGAGAAAGTAGGCGGCAGGCCAGCGATGCTCAACGGGGAAAAGAGCGACAGAGAGCTAGAGCGAGAGATAAAAAAAAAATAACAAAGGAGACACTTTTTGTTGGAAAAACAACATCAAAATTTTGAAGTGGCGATGAGAAAATGAGAAATGCTAGCGGCAGTGGAAAAAAAAAAGAAAAACACATGAACGCGTACGACATTTCCGCCATAAAACGTGTAGCTAGGAATTTTTTGGAAACTTCACTTCACATTGTAGTGGTGAAAAACAACGGCAAAGAAATGTACAAAAAAAGTTTGCTGCGCGTGCAAAGTTGATTGTTGCTAATTAGACCTATTGTTGTTTTTTCACCCTAAGGTTCTCGTTGCCTTCGCCGCTTAGCATAACATGATTTTATATTTTGTTTGAGTAAACTATAAATATTATTGAGAGCTTCGCTTCTAGCCCTTGTTAAATCTATATATTAAATATGAAATAAATCTTATCCGGAAAATGTACTCAGCTAATTTATAGATTCTGTACAGCAATAAAGAAAAAACTGAACTGGCCGGATACTGGGCACCTGACATCAATGTTTCTGGCCTCCGTTATTCCAAACAAATTGAATTTCATGAAGAATTGATAAATTTTGTGAGAACCTGGCTTCTTTAAATATCTTCACTTTAAATATAAAACAGTTTCTTTGAAAATATCACATATTACCAACCGATTTCGGAACAGCACTAGTTTTGCTGCGCAGTAAACAGAAAATTAGCCATGGAAAGTTTACTCACCTGAACAGAACGGCACCTTCTGCAACTGTTTCGCAAGCTGTAAACTCGCCAAAACTTTCATCTTAAAGCTGAAATGTTCAGCTTTCATTCGAAATACATCGTTTACCGAGAACTGAAAAGGGTGTCTCAAAAATTGAGTTTTTGTTTTAAGCAGTAGTCACGTTTTATGGGTATGGTAATCATGAGCTTGGCGCTCTAAACATGTTGTACCCCCACCCTTCCCCCTGAAAAAGCAGGTGTCATACACCCCTACCCCCGCCCCCCCCCATAACGGCCACCTCTTCTGTCCCCAAGGTGGCCATTGTGGAGAGGTTCACCCGTTGTAAGTGGAATATGCCCGTCCAAGTGATTGAGACCCTAAAATGTTGTTGACAATGACGGACGTTTCGACAGTTTGTGCGGTAGCCATGCAGTCAGAGTCAAAGTGATTTGTATCACGTCATTTTGATGGTATTAAACTCTGGTTTTTGACCTGATTTATCAATTAAGTCGCGATGTTATTGGTCTTCTGTCAGTTAAGCTTCAAAGTAGGATGGTACCCCCCAAAAAACTGGGTCGAGTCACCTTAAGTAAATCAAAATGGCGGATCCAAGATGGCAGATGGTTTCAGTTCCCTATTTACGTAATAAATGACGTCATCATGCCATCCCTGCTAGTTTTAAAGATCATTAATGTTTTTGCTAACTTCTTGATATCATCAGACCCCTCAGTTTTTAAATGTATTTTCGCTTTATAACCACTTTGAGAGAAATTTGGATTTTGCCAATAAATTCAACAATATGATGTTTTAATGACATCAATTTACGTCATGGTGTCTATCAAGTTATGCCTGGATGCTGGAAAGTCTGTGTAATTTTGGTGGCTGTATCATGAGCGGTTTTGAAGTTATAGAGGGAGGGCCTACGAAGCCACCCCGGTTTCCCGGTTGCAGGAAGCAAACAAAACACTCTCGGTTTGAATAGAGTTAAGATCCGACGACTACAGCGACCGACTACGGATAAATATGCTACTGCACATGATCAGTACCACGTGAGTGTTTGTCAAGAAAGGTTTGTCCCAAGGGCGGTGGGCAGTACTAAATAGCTAGGACAAAGTAGTCTTTTAAAAGTCTACTTTCGTATTAACACTTATTTGTGCGCAGATGTAGAGGCTAGTTCATGAGAAAAGGAAATAACCCCTACCATACCGTCATACAGTGTACAGTACCAGTGAAAGGGGTGCCAGGCAATACCCTTGGCACGTCCCTCTTTATCTCGTCTTAATTAATAACACACTGAGGCCTTTATGCATGCATGAAGTGGCATGTGCCTTTATTTCTATTCCAAAAGTTCCATTAAATTATAGTGCTATTTTTTAAGACCCCGTAAGTCCTCGATCTTACGTCTTGAAAGTCGTGTCCGAATACCTTAAGTCAGAAGATCTTCTTGATAATATTTGCCGAAGCAAATAACTTAGCCTAACTGTCCACAGGGTATAAATTTTTCTAAACCCTAATTAATATATTACGTTATACTCTATGCGGCCACTTGTTGAGATAAATGTGTAAGAGCATGCTTTATCCTTGGGACGCCGCAGAGGCTGCGATCCAAACCCATACGCATTTTTGCGGGCAGTTCTTTATAGTCCAGCAGCTTCGGCGATAAGAAGTTCTACAGCCTCTCCAACTGCAGCTAACGCTTGGGATCCTGATGCATTTGGGCAAGTATTCACAAACTTTTTTGCACACCCATTTCCTTACCAAGCCTATAAGAACAAACAGTAGAGGAGTTATATCTTTTTCAGGTTATTCAAATGCGAATTTGAAGTACGGTATAGTAGTACTTTTTAGATTTTGGACGTATTAATTTTCATCTTTACCGAGATGCGTGGTTCTTTTATAGTAAGTATAGTCATTGCAAAGTTTACTCACACATGAAGGACAACCAAAACTATTAATATTGAATTAATTCATGCCCTGGTTTATAATGTTGATACGACTTTTGAAAACACCTTTTTTTTTTTTCTTACACCAGAGTCGGCCACGCGAAACCAGTGAATCCCTTCGTCTAAACCGCATCTAGTAAAAATCGCTCTCTTTTTTAATGCGATCTGTATATTAGACGTTTGAAACCGAATATTTTCCAATTCAAAACTGTAGTTTAGTTTAAAAACTAGACTTGCAAATTCAAAGTAGTGGACAACAATTTGTTTCTCAACTCGTTATCAGTCTCGTGCCAGCCGATTTTGGGTTTGTTCAGGGATTGTATGAGTGCCTGGTGGGACAATATATTGGCAGAACTGTGAACTCCTCGCTGTGTAAGCCCCTGATCAAGGTTAATTTTTGCCTAACCGAGGAAATATTGGGCTAGTGAATTTATACCCATCCATAACTGTCCGATAAGCCTTGCTTAGTAAGTTTAAACATAAAGGCGGTCCTGGCCATCGGAGAAGAGTGAAAAAAAATTGTACTTAGAAAATGCAAACTGCAGTGGCGTTTTTTTAAGGATTGGTGAATCCAAACCGGAAACAACCACACAGCAAATTCGTGTGGACGCAAATATTAGTAGTTTCGGCCTTCCCGGATTGGTGTGGACGACGCCATTGTTTGGAATTGAAAATACAAAGCTTACACGGAAAATGTATTCATGTTTCTTAGTTTGTTAAATCTGGTCACATATGTCAAAACCCATTGGCAGGCATACGGGCATAAGGTCTTTACGATCCAGCAGGTTCGGTGATAAGAAGTCTTACAGCGTCTCCAACTACAGCTAACCTTTGGGACATTGACGCATTTGCGCACGTCTCTACAAACTCGTTTGCAGACCCATTTCTTGACGTAACCTATAGGCACAAAAGGTAGGGCAGTTATAACTTTTTCAGGTTATTTAAATGCGAACCTGAGAAACGGCTTGAGGTAGGATAGCACTTTTTAGACTTCAGACGTGTGAATTTTTATCTCTACTGAGATGCTTGGTTCTTTTACAGTAAATATAGTCATTGCAATGTTTACTGATAGATAAAGGGTAACCCAAACTGTATTGAATTAAATTATACCCTGGTACACAGAGTCGATACGACTTTTGAAAACGTATATTTTTTTACACGAGTCGGCCACACGAAACCAGTGATTCCCCTCGTCCAAACTGCCTCTATAAAAAATTGCAATTTTTTTTAATCCGATTTGTATATTAGACGATCAGAAACCAGATATTCTCGATTTCAAACTAAATTTACAAATTCAAAGTGGTAGACAACAATTTGTTTTTCAACTCGTTGTCAGCATCGTGACAGCCGATTTTGGATTTGTTCAGAGCCGATTTGGGGTTTGTTGAGGGTTTATAAGTGCCTGATGGGACAATTATCTACAGGCAGAACTGTGACGTCCTTGTAATGTAAGCCCCCAATCAAGGTTATTTATGCCTAACCGGAGAAATATTGGGCAAATGATTTGTATCCAAACTTTCCGATCAGCCTTGTCAAGTAATTGTAAACATAAAGGCAGGCCTGGCCATCGAAGAAGAGTGGGGAAAAAATTGGTAGTTAGCAAATGTAAATTGTAGTAGCCTTTTCTTGTGGATGGGTGAATCCAAACCGGAAACAGCCACACAGAGAATTCGTGTGGACGCAAATATAATAGCCGCATGCGGTTTCGGCCTTCCAGGAAGAGTGTGGACGGCGCCATTGTTTGAAATTGAAAAAACAAGGCTTAGACTGATCAAAACTAGGCCCCAATTTTGTTTTTTCGTGTTTCTTATTTTGATAAATCTGGTTTAAATTAAACGGGTTTCTTGATATAAAGGGGTCTTCATACAAAGAGAAGATGTCTTTGGTTCACTCTTAGTTGTACATTTGCAGGGTCTACAAACGTTACCTTTTAGTTGATCTATCCATTTTCTTAAAAGAAATAATTGTATTGTTATAGCTTCTACAAGAACATGATTTCCATTTAATTATTTTATTACCTTTAGCCGCTGATTTTGCCCCTTCTTTTACTACATCTACTAAATCGTTTGCATCCATTATTGGATCTTCCATTTCATCAGCGTCATTCTGTTTCTCATTTATCTTCCGGATTCGGTAAATTGGCAACTCTGCACATAGATCCTTCATCTCGTCACTCAAGCCCGAATGGTCACTCAGCTTGCCAACAGCCTTGAAATTCTCCTCTGACGTAGTGGTCACTTTAGAATCTGCACTCCTCTGCACCTATGATTGGTGTAAACCAGAGTGAAAAATTAATGAATAATTTCGAGTGGAATTATCAATAGGCTGCAAGGGTCAGCAAAATTCAAGGTATAACTTAGAATAGAATAAATAAAGAAATTAGTAACTGAAATAAATAAATAAACAAATACTTTAAACAAATCTCTCCAGTGTAATTAGCTAGTGGCAATCTTGATTTAGTAATTACTAAAAGGACAGAACGTGTAACTGGATGGTAAAAAAAGACATCATGCAGTGATTCTTAAAAACTAATGATAGCGCTGAAATTTGACGAGATTGATAGGACTCAAATGGGTTCTTTTATCTTAAGTGTGGCCAAAACCCGACTGGGTGGATCTTGTCTCCTTAGATATATATAAAAAAGACATTAAAACTTAAAGTGTGTTCTTCTCTTTGCACTGTCATTTTTGTTAAGTTATGATCAACTGTTGAGGAAGTTCGTGTTATTAAGTTCTCTCTGTAATGAGCTGATGTTATAATTAGACGAATCGGATACTCGTTAAATGGCCCGCCTGATTTTGCTTAATCATTCGTATCGCGTATGATTACAGGCCAACTGGCCTCAATTAAGTCCTTTTTCCGATATTAATTGCTGCATGTATTCTAGAAACTTAAGTTAAAAACTCGTACATTAAAAATTAGCCTAACGCTAATTTTAACGTCGTTTGTTTTAGATCATCAGACACGTACCAACTGAAGTAGTTTCAGCAAGTCAGCTGGTCGAGGAACGTTTCCAATGGAGTATCTTAAAAAGCAGGCGTTTGCCTCTGGCAATCGAATCATCGTCAAGTTCTGCAGTAAAGTTAAGCCAATATAAAGCAAGGATCAATAGATACAAAAGATTTAAAAAAATAAATAAATAAATAAAATAAATAAAAAATAACGTGATTGCCTAATAAATACTTTTGTCAAAGTTACCTTTTTAGTTTATCATTTTGAATCAAACCAACTAAACAAAAGTGAGAGTCGCAGATTAGGCTTCTAATTTTTCTTTGCTTGCTTAGTGCCGTGGTCAACTATATCTCTTTCGGCGTCGACTTATTTTATGAAAACTCGAGTCGTAACTTATTATACAGGCTAATTGATACGAAATCAAGACGCTCTTTTATAATATCCTGTATATAGTTTTGGTCCTCTTGCTTTATGTTCTGTCAGAAACCATAAAAAAATGGCGTTTTATGTCCATTTCAGAGACGTCGTTTCCGCAAAACTGTGCAGTGATAATTTCGCATTTAATATCCGCCTTTTATCTTAACGTTATAAAGACCGAAAGTCAGAGAAACTAAGGTTTGACTAGTTCTCACTGAAAAATAATTTCAAGTTTTAACCATAAGACTCTAGATTTAGATTAAATTCAGTTGAGGGGGTTTGACCTTTTATGTTAGTTACTGACCTTGTTGAAGTCGTAGACATAGTCTCCTTCGTTCTTGCCCGAGGAAGCTTGACGCAAAGAGAAAGTCTCTGAGTTCTTGTTAGCATCGACTTTGATCCTTTCATACTTATCTTTGGATAACCTGAATGTATAGGCCTGCGAAAACACATGTAAAATAAGAAGTGGTACCATATTTTGTTATTAATGTTTTTAATAACTGAGTATAGACAAATGAGTAACTTCGCTATATATTATTATGTAAATGCATATAAATACGGGTCTCTTTAGTCGAGGCACGTGAATGAGATTCTTACCCTTTTATTCAATAAGCCCTTGAGTCATAATAATGCGTGGCCGTCAGACACTTGTTCTTTAGCGTTCACATCACGGCATCGGAAAATTGTGTAACCGGCTAAAAATTTCGTTCACGCGGAACCGTTCAAAATTTTCGCTCTGTTCACATAAAAATGACAAACCGGATTGAATTCTAATTTCTACGATGGTTGTACCATCCGCCTAATTGCAGAGCGCTACTTTAGCAAATCTAAAATGGCGTCTCCCAGCTGAATAACCACGCATCCATGCAACCACACCTTTGGAGTACAAGAATTTCAACGGCCATGGTGTTCACAACACGCCAGTCAAATTTTCGACCTCTGTGACCTCCGTGTGAACGAAGGGTAAGCATCGATAGCCCATAATACGCCATAGGATAAAATATTAAGCGCGAAAATCAACGCCATCACATTCAACTTGGGCAGAGTTAAGCTAAAATTGTCTTGGTGAAAACGCAATATTTTAAACTGAATTACCTTTTGTCCACTCTCAGCGGTAGAGATAAGAATCGAAGGGGCGATCAGCAAAAGTAACAGCATCAATCGAGCCATCGCGATAATAAAATGTCGACTGTTTCTTATTTGAGTTCCTCAAGAGATCCTCTGTCGAATGATGCAGCTAGTGTGCGGAGCAGCTTCTTTTATGCAAGCCTGGCCATTGTGTTGGCAAAACTTGAAAATTTTTCGGGCATTGCTTCTACTTCCTGGTTGTCAGCATATTTCGTATGTTTCAGCTCAACAAGTTTTATTTCGTATTTGTAACAGCGGAAGCCATTATTATTAAAATATCAAAATATTATTAAAAATAGCGAGCGGGCGTCGTTTTCTGAGATATTAAGCAACATGTAAGAGTACTAAACTTCTATTAAAATGTTGCTAGGAGCTTCGTCTTTATCTTAAAAACAGGAGAAAGAGTACCCTGACGAAAGCTGACTTCCGTATAACACTAAATGAGAACTCCGGTGCGCTCTAGCCTATTTCAGCACGTCAACTTTGAGCAGAAATTTGACAAATAATGAAATTGATTTCTTGCACAATTTGAGGATTCAAATAAACGGGGGGTAACCAGACTGTATTATTCATTCCTGTGAAATGTTTCTTATGTTGGTGTCGAGTTGTGCCCGAATTCTGACTCTTACGCGAAACGAGACTCCAGGGGGTATCATTCATTATATCATCACCGAAGATTTTGTATTAATTTGTTGTCTTGACTATTTTCTTTGATACTCTGTATTTTGTTTAAAGCCGTTATTCCAATTTTTTTTTGTAGCCAGTAACTGAATTGCTATTAATACGCAAAAGTAAGAATATTCAGGAGATCACATTCAATCAATGTGCCTTTTCTATTATTTGCGATCACGTTTTGCATTTTAACAATGTTGATTTAATGTTTTTCCTTTCCATACCTTTAATACCTTTACTTTTTGTACCCGGGATGGCTCAAATTCTGCCATTTGAGGCAATTATTTGCTATCCACTTTAGTTTTAATCAAAACTAAGAGTAAATAGCATTTACAACTATTCTCAAGGCTCCCTCACTGATCTTGCTAGAGCTTAAATGAGCGGACAGTTCTTCGTTTGTGACGTCATGCTGCACAGAAAAAAAAACAACAACTTTATACTATAACAAGGAAGTTAAAACGCTCATGCAAGATTTTATACTACAACCATCGTATAACACAATTCGTTCTCGGCCGGCGCTCGCGCTCGAAACGTAAGCAGTTACCATCATGGTGGCTAAATCGGTGACAACCATAAGCAAAAAGGCCAAATCTTTGTGTGTAACTTCCAACCAAGCTCAAACAGTCTAAACCCCATCATTAAAACACAGAGGGACCAGTTCGCGTCAACATCGATTAACTATCAATATGATTTTAGTAGAAACAGTCATTAAACCCCGCGACTAACTATAAGAACCTATATTTTAAGAACCTGTTAGGATAAAATTTGACAGTAAGACCCCTATATACAACCTGTTAAGGCTAAAATTTGAAACAGGTTCTTATTTTCTAAAACCTGTGAAAACATTCTGTACACTTGGGCAAATAAGATAAGTCAACATTCAGAATCCTCTTTGGAGACATAGATTCCTCATCACATGCAGATTTTATATGTTGAGGAATATATTTTTTCTTTCCTTCAGAAAATAAGAACGTATTTAAGAACCTAAACAGGTTAAAATTGTGCTAACTACCATTTATATAAGAACCTGTTTAGGCTAAATTGGAAAAATCCAGGTTCTTAAGTCGCGGGTGTTTACTGTATTTCAACTTTTTTTTAAATAAACCCCTTCATTCCTTATTATCGATCATTATAACGCCCAACTAGCTGCTGTCTTAATGCTAACAGTTACAAGATTTTTAAGCGCAGTTAGGCCGGACTTACCTAGTGAGTACTCTTTGAAAGACCATGAAATGTGCCGGTTTCCTCCTCCCTATACTTCACGGAATCTTCACGGAATTTACGTTTAATTCGGAACTTACTAAGACAGGAAACATTTTTTCAGGAGCAATTATAGCCACCTTTGGGAGTGAAATTTCCGTGAACAAAGGAGTCCACGAAGGAATAACTTCAGATGAAATTGAAGCCGGCGCAAACTTATTAATTTGCATTTAACTTATACGAATTGAATATTTCTGATGAGAATTTCCATTTTTTTTCCTGCAATCATTCATAAGAAGTGTTTTAAAAAGCATTTTAATGTAGTGTGCCTTTTCTTTAACAAAATTGGTGAGCTAAATGGTTGAGCAGTATCTACTCTTTCTCCCAGGAAAAAAAGTAATAAAGACGAATTTACTGAGAGCTGCGTGATTGCCTAAAGTTTATTCCCCACGCTTGCTCTTCGATAAGGAAGTGGAAGAAGAATTACACTTCGGGTATATTTGCATAGCAAACACAATTTGTACATTATTATCACATAACTGTTTCCGTTTCAGATACAAATCAAACAGAAACTTAATCAGATTTCTTCCTCGTCCAAATAATAAATTACACAATTTTAAAGCTGAGATTTCAGGACGTAAGCATCGTGTTGAAAAAGGTAGAGGAAAATATATGAAAGAGTTTTATTCGCGGTTATATTTTAAATAATCCTCCATGAATTCATGTACTGGGCAGGATTCGTCGATGATAAGTAAGAATAGGCCATTGTGTGCCATGAAATGTCCATTTGCGTTGCTAGAGCTTTGATTTGGCAAATAAAGGTTTGGAGGTACAGTTTTGTTGATCAGGGACAATATATTATTTCTTAAGGAAAAAAGAAAACATCAAATGATAACTAAAACAAATGAACGACTTAAGCGACCCTTTCTCAAGAATTGCTTCATCATAAAGGAGTTGTCCAATCCTGCACGCGAGAATTCTGGAAGAAAACATTTGAGCACAGGCGATGGAAACGGTTATTTCGGCACTCATTCTTTTGTCCTTATAAACGCTTGGATGGATAAATCATATTTTCACTCAGGTGTAAAATTTGCTTGCTTATACTGAATGTTTTATTCACCAGCACTTTTTTTAAGTCCACGCCACGTTAATGATTTTTTTTTTTTACCAGATAAGTAAAGTATATTAAGTTATTTCATTTCTACGTTCCCCTTACAGCATTAAAAAAATAGCGATTAAAGTTGGATAATTTTGGCATTATTTTTAGTTACTAAGCTGAGGTAAACATGCAAGATAGTGATTACTGAAATCTTCGTTTTAGAACAGGGAAGTGATTGTCGCCTTTGAAAAGATTTTATTTACTTTGCGGTTGAAACAATTAGGTTGTACCGAAATATATGATATTTTTTGCTTTAATTTTAATTACAATTTTTTTAGAGAGAGCCGGGCGACGAGGGCTTAAAATTCGTTCATCTGATTCTTAATTGTTTAATAATCCGCACATCATTTCATGGCAATAAAAAAGACGTATTTGCCACTACTAGTTCATTGCATGCTATTTTAACGAAAAGGCTGCAGAAAACTTTTCTAACTTTTCTAGTTTCCTTTCTCGTAGGTAAATTAGCTTTCTCTTTGGCGAAGAGCGTTGCGTGACGAAACAAAGAACGGCTCAGTACGGAGCAGACGATCTTTGGGAGGTAAGCTGAATTAAAAATGAAGGTATCTCAGAAAAGACTTTGGCACTCGGAAAATGGTAGTGGTAAACACCTTGGAATGGAAAAAGGTCGTACCATTGGGGAACGGATTAGATTTTAAGGGGTCAACGTATTGCTTGATAAGAGTCCCACATGTTTTGGTCAAAGCTGGTCTGGAATTAAACTAAGTACCGGGGGCACCCAAAGAGAATATAGTTCAAAACTACTTAAACTTAGCATTGTTAAACGTATTTTAGTATTTAAACGGTAGATACAGGTATATTTTTATCCCCTAAACATTATAATTATCAAAACTTACCTTTTCGAAAATTTCAGCCAGAAAAAGGGATCCCGAAAATTCCAGGTGATCTTTTTAGGGTAAAAAATCCATTAAAAATGATCAATTATACCATTTTTTAGTTGTTCGGAAATCCTAGGAGAGGCAGGCAACCAAACAATTTACAACAAATGTTCCGAAAATTGACGTCGGGTGCCCCTCCTTAGACACTTTTTTTTCGTTCTACAAACGTTAAAGGAGAGTATCAAGCAGTTCTCCCACCAAAGGGATAGCGTGTCAAAGACCCTTTTGTGATTTTGCGAGTACCTATAGTTTCTACGTTATTAATGCATCAGCCAATTCCAGCTGCGCCCAGACGAGATTTGACTGAAGGTGAAAGTTTTTACGCATTTTCTCAACACATAGACAACCCGGAAACCTTCATTGTTCTTTTGATTCACCAGAAAAGTCAGGACTTTTAAGGCTTAATTAATTGAAGGAGGTTAAGCAAAATAATAAAAATTCTAACATTTGAACAACTTGTTTCGGCAATGAACCACATTCTCGCTAATACTGGAAGTAGAATGAGGACGGCTATCACGTTTTCTCTTCAGCAAAGGCGTTTTTGAACGACGCACTTCAACCGGAAGTGAGGACTTTTTCCTTTTAAAGGGAACCTCCACTCTTACTACAGAATAAGTTTAAATCGAATAAAATTATGTTGATAAACAAATTTGTTCGAAATTTGTCTTAAAAAAAGTGTTTATATCAGGAAAAGTGAATTTTAAAATCGCTTATTTTCACTTTCAAATTTCGCGGGCGCCGCCATCTTGAATAATTGTGACGTGTTATGGTTGCTCTGTTGTTCTGACACAAAGAGCTTTTGTTTAATAACAATAAGGCAACCATTACACGTCACAATTATTCAAGATGGCGACGCCCGCAAAATTTGAAAACAAAAATAGGCGAATCTAAAAGTTATTTCTTTCGGATACAAACGCTTTCTTTAAAAATATTTTAGATTGACTTGACTGTAACAGTTATTTCCTGTGATTTTAAGTTATCTTTTTGTTGAAGTGGAGGTTCCCTTTAATGGGATCAATTTAGGTGGCTGGGAAACTGCTCACCTACCCCTCCCCTAAGCTAACATTAACACTTACTTCTCGCTTAGGGCAAAATGATGGCATAGGGGAGGGGTA